GAGAGAGAGAGAGAGAGAGAGAGAGAGAGAGAGAGAGAGAGAGAGAGAGAGAGAGAGAATGAGAACATGAGCCCAGTGCCTCCTTGGCTCTGGATCCCCCCTGAGCTGGAGTAACAGGCAGTTGTGAGCTGCCCCAAGTGGGCACTGGGACCTCACCTCTGGTCCTCTTCAAGAGTATGTTCTTAACTGTTGAGCCATCTCTCCAACTCCCTAAAAAATCTAAATTTAATGTGAATATAATTTCTTAAAATCTTGTGATTTCTGGTTTGTTAGGGTGACTTTTTTTTTTTTTAAATCTCTTTGGGCCTGATTATATAATCCTTTTCTTTTCCAAGGCAGATATGGGCTGCTTCCATTTGGAATGGCCTTCTCCTTATTCTGGTTTGTGTCTCCCAAGAGTACTTGGTGTAACTGCTGTTCAAGCTTCCGCTTTCCTCAGTCACCCGCAGCAGACTGTTCTGGAAATCCACAGCAATTCGGTGTCATGAGTTAATAATGTGCAGCCTGATGGCACCTTTTAAAGGGGAGAAATGATACAGAGCAAACTGTTAAAAACTGGCCTTAGCCACCGATCTGTTACAAAGCTTTTGTGTAAAATCTTCCATTTGTTAATCTCTCTCTTTTGAGACAGGGTTTCAACTATGCAGATCTGGCTGGCCTTGAACTCAGAGGCCTGTCTGCCTCTGCATCCTGAGTGCTGGGATTAAAGGTGTGCCTTTACAACAGGACTGTTGTTGGTTCACATGCATAAAGCCAGTTATCAAAACATCTTAAATTCTAGGACAAGTTTGAGTTTGACATTCAAACAGATCACTTTGCAGGATACACTCAGAACAGTAATAGGTTGTACAATCCTGAGTCCAGATAAACTGGATTCATGAGGAGTAGAATTTCACCAGCAGTTCCAGCTGGCCAACATCTTCACTGTGGTCCTGTACCCAAGGAAAACATTGCTGAACGAACCTCATGACCCATGTTCAATTCCCAGCACCCACATGGCAGCTCACAACTGTCTATAACTACAGCTCCAAGGGATCCACACCCTCACACAGACATGCAGGCAGGCAAAACATCAATGCACATAAAATAAATCATTTAAAAAACAAAACAAAAAAACGCCAAACAAGACTTGGCCTCTAAACCAGAGGGTCTAATCAAAGCACCTAAGTGAGCAAAGTAGAACTGTCTCTCAGAGATGAAGGGAAAGCTGGGTGTTGCATTAACTTTTCCCATTGAAAGCAATCCCATCCTAAGTGTTTTACCTGTTATAAAAATAATTGGGCAGAGTATGGTAGCACACACCTGGCACTTGGCAGAGGCAGGAAGATCGCTGAGTTCATGGCCAGCCAGAGCTACATAGTAAGCTCAAAGCAAAAACAAAACAAAAAAATTGAACCCCAGCTTGCCTTAGGGCTCTTAACAGCTGTATGTGCTTTTAAAGAATTCTCTATACACTAGTTAACCATCATCATCCACATCTCATGATTGTTGTTTAGTTCCAAGATCTTAGACCTACTCGGAGTCTATAATTGAATCTGAATGTCAGCCAGACTACACAATGTAGCTGGAAGTTTCTAGGTCTCACCTGGCCCTGTGGTCCCACAGCTCGGAAGCTTAAATTAATTGCAAACTGTATGGCCTATGCCTTCAGCTTTTGCTCGCTAGCTCTTTCCTCTTAAATTAACCCATTCCTATTAATCTATGCTGCCATGTTGCCCTGGCGTTACCAGTCTGCTGCCATCTTGTTGCTCCTTGAGCACTGGCTCACATCTCTCGATTCTTGCCCTTCTTCTCTGTACCTTGCTTGGATTTGCCTCCTGGCTGTAAGCTTTCTTGCCATAGGCCAAAACAGCTTTATTTATTATCCAATGAGAGCCACACACATTCACAGCATACAGAGAGACATCCCACAGCAATACAAGGGAATACTTAAATTCCTCTCCCTTCAAGACTGTTCATAGAAAGCATGGTGGCTCACATCTACACCGCTGGCACTTGGAAGGTGGAGGATGGAGGATTAGGACAGGAGGCCTGGTTTCAAAAACAAAAAACTCAAAACTTGTTCACAAATGCTCCTTAGGTGTTTTTGCAGAGGCGGTGTATTTGAAAAACAAACAAAATTGGCTTATGAAAACATTCTGAATTCGATCACTCTCATGCAGAACTGTGCACGGGACCCTAAGGCTCCAGGAGGTGGTGCTGTGCTGGGGAATACAGGTCAAGCACAGTTTGCAACACCTTTCCAGGCATCCAGTACAGGACACGAGTCAGGTTCCCAACCTGGCATCTGCATTCAGTTGATGGGACATGGACTTCTGCTTCCAGGATAACTTCAGACTCTTCAACAAGCTTCCCCTTCCACGTATTTCACTAAATGGTGTAAAAACTTTATCTCTAGTGTCCTGATGCCAACTTTGTGATGTATTTCTTTTTCCCAATTTTTGAAGAAAGTGCAGTGTAGCAAGCATCTTTCTTGATGATTCAGTGTTCCACAAGGATGTTGGGTGCCGGAGCTGAGGAATTGTCCAGTCTTCCCTCCTCTTTTTGGTGTTTCAATGATCTCATCTCTTTAACAGCTTGAGACAGAGTGGTCACAACATACCATACTTTTGCAGTCTAAAGGTGGTACAGTAAAATCCACACATACCCTGTATCTTGTCATTAAAAACTGTCTATTGAAAAAGGCACAAGGCTCTCCTGTTTCTAACCAAAAACATTTATCTCACCTGGACTGTAAACCTTACCTTCAAAGCAGGAGAACTACAGCTCTGACTCTAGCTGATTTAAAATTTAACACAATTGTGTCTGCTGTAAACATTTTCATTAGAGTGTTTCCTGTAGCAAGTGGAGAAATCTACACTGTGAATTACAAGGCATCCCCCAGTTTTATACTAAGGGTGTCTGTGAACTTGATCACATTCTCTCACTCAAATGGATGTCAGTATATTCTTAGAATGTTCAGAATTGTAAAGCCGGCACACTCTAACTCTGTTATCCTCTGAGTCCCTCCAAGCAGCAATGTCCTATCCACAGCCTAAGGCAGTACCCACTGCAAGCAGAAGCAGAGGCAGAGGCGTTACAGTCAGTTCCTCTAACTTAACAGTGTTATCAAGGTCACCCATGGGGAGCATGAGGCAGTTCTTCACTCATTTTTATTGCAAATAATACTTTATTGTACAACACACTACATTTGATATACCCAAGTACCAGTTAATGGATATTCTGAATCCAGTATCTGGTTATCATGAAGAATGCTGAACTCATGTAGTAATGGTTGCACACACCTTTAATCCAAGCACTCAAGAGGCAGAGGCAGGTGGATCTCCGGGTTTGAAGCCAGCCTGGCCTACAAAGTGAAAACCTATCTCAAACACAAAAACAAACTCTGGATACACTTTCTATAGGCATGGCTTCGGTTTCAGTTCTCTTGGTTAAAGCCAAGACTTGCTGAAGTTTGAAGTAATTCTGTGTCACTTTTTTTTTTTTTTTTTTTTTTGTTTTGGTTTTTGTTTATGTGCCACAGTGCCTGTGTGGAGGTCAGAGGGCAACTTTCTGTGGTGGTTTCTCCTTCCACCATGTGGGTCCCAGGAGTCAAACTCAGGTTCTTGGCTGTGGACCTGTTTGTTACAACCCCATCTTGTTACCTTTTCAAGACCTAATAGTCTGTTTTCCAAAGTGGCTGCTGATAGTCTACCTTCACCTGAGCAATGCATGGTTCCAAGCTTCCATCTTCATATCAGTTCACTTTGTAAATCGCAGCCACCGCAGTGGACATGTTAACGCCTTGATGAGCATTGGTGATTAGTGTGATCATCTTTCCATGTGTTACAGGTGCTTTGTGACGGTAGCTTTGAGCCTGTGCAAAACGCATGGAGATCTGAAAACCTTTCAGTTAAGATTTTGCTAGAGCCAATGTCCTTTCTAATTCCTTTAGCTGCATATTGCCTTGAGTAATCATCATACGGATTGTGTCCTGTAGAAGAAAGGGGAAACTAGTCACTGCTTTTACCAGGTTAACCATGGCACGGTTCTAGCATTTTATCTGCTACATTCAAGAACCAACAACGGCTGGTGACAGGTGGTAGCTCTCCATGCCCAAGGCTCTACTTTCAGTCCCTACACAAAGGCACCCCCAACAAGAAACCAATAGTGGGAAGTGCATGCCAGACGCTTGGCAACACATGCAAAGCCAGCTGCTGCTGCACAACACATTTAAAATACCGGCGGGATTCTGCAGTGATCAAAACCAGCCACCTCAGTGGCTTATTCCAAGATGTTCGCTAAACTTCACAAGTTCAACAACACAACAGGACAAAGGAGGCGGCCTCAGGAGGGTCTCGCTCACCTCTTCCGTGGCACTTTTGTTTCTTTTGAATTCTTCCCTGGCCCAGTCCTGAAGGTACTTTCGGTCAGCCTCGCTTGGAACTTGCCTAATGGCTCGCAAAATCTTTCTGTAGAGGAGGAGGACTTGTTGCCTTCTCATGAACTGCTCGGGGGAAGGAGAGATGCAAATTACAACTGAGTCCCCGCCGGCTCCACCTCAGCACACAAACTGTAGCCACAGGCGTCCCTTTGGTCCTCAACCAGACCAAGACAAAAATCTACGTCCATGCCGGCGGTCTGCTTGGGGAGAGCACACCCCCCGCCCTGGGATGCTGAGGCTGCGGGCCGAGCGAGGCTCCCCGGGGCTGTGGCGAGCCAGGTCTCGTGGAGAGTGCCTCCAAAGACCCCGGGACAACCGCACGCGAGCCGAGCTACGACCGCGGTCCCCGCTCAAGGCGGGCCGGGGGCCTGCGGGGCCGGGAGAACCCCGGGTACCTGCTTCAGCGTCAGCGCCGTGGGAGGCAAGCGAGAGGACGCCATGCCGCCTACCGAGGCAGCCGCCTGGTGCGCAGGAGCGGAAGTGGAGGGAGCCTGGGACCACGGGACCACGGAAGCGGAAGTAGGAGGACGGGCGAGCCAGGTTCCTAGGAGGCCGACGCTTGAGTCTTGAGTTTCTGCTGGGGCTTCCGCACCTGGAACGCCGCGAGGAGCCTGTCACCTAGGAGCTTAAGCTTTCCACCGGAGGGGAGAAGCTGTGCGCTTTCTGAGCACCCTTGATGTGTAACTGCAGAGACTGACCTTTAAACTAGCCATTTGACCTTGCATCCTGCACGCTTTTTTTTTCTCTGAGCTTTACCCTGCAGCCGGTAGGCACCGCGATCGCTGCGGTTCCGTGCTCTTTCCCTACTCATGGGGCCTCTGGCTTTTTTGTTTTGTCCCCCACAACACACACCTCGCAGTGTGTCATATGTAACTACTCAGAACAGCTCCAGATGCCTGTAACTCTAATTCTCAGTGTTTACTTTCACAGGCATCATGAGTAATGCTTAACGCCGTGTGCTTTTTCAATTTTTCTCTATTGTGGGAGCTTGAGGATCAAACTCGAGTAATCAGGGTTGTTGGGAAGTACCTTTACTGTCTGAGCCCTTTCAGTGGCCCTTGGGTAATTTCTTTATACATTATACTCTACGTTAACGTGTTTGTTCTTTTGAGACTTTACAGTTGTTCTTTACATTTACAGTTTCATCTTCGACTCACAGCTGTTGTAAAATTGTACTGATCAGTTCTCTTTAAATATTTTTACTCGTCTAAACATTATTTTTATTTATGGCGTAATATCAATTTAAGTTCTTTTCCCACCACTAGACTGAAAATTCAAAATCATTATGCAATCCATAACTTTCCCTGGCCATTGTGGCAATCTTTTTTGACCAGAGGGTCTTTTAGGGCTGAATCTGCTCAGGTTTGTTTTAATCTTAAACTATTATTATTATTATTTGGTTTTTGGAGACAGGGTTTCTCTGTGTAGCTTTGCGCCTTTCCTGGGACTCACTTGGTAGTCCAGGCTGGCCTCGAACTCACAGAGATCCACCTGGCTCTGCCTCCAGAGCGCTGGGATTAAAGGCGTGTGCCACCACCGCCCGGCCTTAAACTAGTATTATGTTCTATAAATTATCATTTATTTATTTATTTATTTATTTATTTATTTATTTATTTATTTATTTATTTATTTTTTTGGTGGATGGGAGGATGTGAGCATTGGAGTTCAGATGGAAAGGTATCCTGGCTGTCAGGAGCCAAGGAATGCTACAAAATCATCATAAGCTCTGCAGCTCTGCTCAGAGGAAAGGTTTCCCAAGTGCAAGTGTAACACATCTGCTCTGGCCAGCGGAGTTTTACAGCACTGCCCAGGTCCAGCCAAGTGTTAGAGCTCTGCTCTGCTGGGCGAGAGTTCCCCCAGTGAAAGTCTTGGAGTTCATCCTCACTCCGGCTCCCTCAAAAGCTGTTATAGCTGGCCTCTGCTCTGGGGACAGCGTCACACTGCACTACAGACCTCACACAAGAGATTTATTGGGAGGGGGAAAATCCAGCAGGGGGGCTGCCTCTAAGATGAGACACAACAAACTCCACAGAATGCAGAGCTTATATAGCTCTACAAACAAGGATGCTAGCCACAGGCCGTTGTCATAGGGACATAAATTTCTTGGCTCAGAGATTTATGTTTTGGATAGGAAAGCTTGTAAGGTCAATGCAGTGTCACTAAATTGACTGAAAGTAGGCCCTTCCTCTTATAAATTCTCAGTGCCGAAGCTCAGGGTACAGCATTTTTAAAAAACCATAAAACCACAGTGACATCATTGTCAGGTGTAGGTCAGGGGACCTGGTCACATTTGTTTTGACTATACAACCAGCAGATATTTGGGTTATTATATCTGAGCCATGGAAAGCCCTGAACATGCTGCCGAGGTGGATGTGACTGTTCACGGGGGGGGGGGGGGGGGGGGGGGGGGGGGGGGGGGGGGTAAGGAAGTGGAAAGGTTCCTGACAAGATGGAGTCAGCGTGAAGACGTTACCTCAGTCACTTCATTCCTCCTCTTAGTGAAGAACAGAGATCAAATAGAAATCTTTGATTTCTGTGAGAGGGCAGGTGATAGTTCCTCAGGATCATTAGACATAGGAGGAGGATATAAGGGCCCATGGGCCTGTGAGTAAGGTGTGGATTCCAGTCAAACAAGCTATGGAACCAGAGATGATTGACCCTCTCAAATCTATCATTTGTAAGGGCCAACTGCTATTTGGACGCAGTTAGGAATAACTCAATACATAAATCAGGTAATTTTTGTTGTTTTTGTTTTTTTTTTACAAAGCTATTACTTTTAGATACAGCCATTGGGACTAGGCCCACAGGAAACATGGCCAATATTACCAGGAGTCCAAAGAGAGGAAGGGGGATATCGTGACCCCATATCCATGTCCCTTGCCGGATTCCTTAGTTTCGCCTGTGTGTACTCATTGGCTTCCAGCTTTATAGCCAGAGCAGGGCTGGAGCTGGTTCCCGTGGTGTCTGGAAGGTGAGGCTGGTTTGGGTGGATTTTCAGAGTCTGGGCTTCTTCCTTCTCAGGCAGTGTGGTTTTCTTTACCTGGGAGCCACAGAATGACACCTGTCACTTAAGTGTTTAGCCTGGTGTGCTGACTGGCTCTGGCACAGTCTCTGTCTTATATTATTTAAAACTCTGTTGGGAACTCTATACAGAATCAAGTAATTACCTCTCAGCCTTGGGATGAGTTTTTTCTCCTACAAGGAGAATTGGAAGCCAGGGTAAAGGGTATGGCCACCTGAACTAGCATGCAAGTCCCATAATAGTCAGGTGGCAGGCTGAGGCACGTGGTTCCCATTGTGTCAGTTTGGGAGACATCGAGTGCAGAGTAATTTACCTCTGTCGTTCCAGACATTTAGGATACGGGCAAAAGAGCCCATCCCCCTGTCACGTGAGTGCTGGGATTAAAGGCATGTGCCACCATGCCTGGATTTTTTTTTCTGTTTTTCTTTTTCTTTTTGTTTTTTTTTTAAATTTCATTTCCTTTAAGAGTTGAACCCAAATGACCTAAGTGGTGGTTTGAATAAGAATGGCCCCCATAAGATGGGCAGTGGTGGCGCACGCCTTTAATCCCTCACACTTGGGAAGCAGAGGCAGGCAATCTCTGTGAGCTGAGGCCAGCCTGATCTACATCTACAGAACTAGTTCCACGATAGCTGAGGCTACACAGAGAAATCATGTCTCAAAAAACAAGAGCAAAAAATGGCCCCCATAAGCTCATATATTGGAATGCTTAGTCACTTGGGGTGGCGCTGAGGTTTCAAAAGCCCATGCTAGCTGGGCGGTGGTGGCGCACGCCTTTAATCCCAGCACTTGGGAGGCAGAGCCAGGTGGATCTCTGTGAGTTCGAGGCCAGCCTGGGCTACCAAGTGAGTTTCAGGAAAGGCACAAAGCTACACAGAGACACCCTGTCTCAAAAAACAGAACAAAACAAAAGCCCATGGTAGATCCAGTTCTCTCTGTTGCCTGCAGATCATTAAGATGCAGAACTCTGAGTTACTTCTCCAGCACCAGGTCTACCTGTGAACCACTATGCTCCCTGCCAAGATGATCATGGACCAAGCTTCTGAGACTGTAAGCAAGCCCCCAATTAAATGCTTTCTTTGATAAAAATTGCCTTGGTCATGGTGTCTCTTCACAGCCTTAGAACAGTGACAAGAACATGGCATACTGTTGCAAATTAAGATTACCTGTACACAGACTTTTAACTACCAATCTTTTCTGTTCCAAGTTTGTTGGTTTGTTTTGGTTTTTTGGTTTTTTGGTTTGGGAGACAGGGTTTCTCTGTGTAGCCCTAGCTGTCTGGAACTCTCTATGTAGATCAGGCTGGCCTCGAATTCAGAGATCCACCTGCCCGTCTCCCAGTGCTGGGCTTTGTTGCAAGTTTTAAGCAGATTTTTTTTCTTGGAATTTTACAGCCTCCCCCCACCCCCCAACACCTTCCTCAGGCTGCCATGGTCTTAAAAGATCCTGAAAGTTTGCATTTCAGCAAAAGCTTTAAAAGAGAGGGAAGTACTCACAGAGCTAAACCACCTGCAATTACATAAACATCTTTTAACCTCTTAGCTGTTTTTATGTGCACAAGGCTCCCTCTTCCTGCCCCTCCAAGTCAGGAGCAGCTCAGATTTGAAAGGTGCGCGCTGTGCGTGCGCATGTAACATACCCAAAAGATGTTTGTTTCTCTGTATACTGAAAAGCAGAAACAAAAGCAAGCAGCCCCAGGCTTGGTGGTGTAGAAACAAAGACAGAACACAGACCTAGGGCAAGAGAATCCCAAGCAAACAGCGGGTGAGACTTTATGGGCAGACCCCAATCCATACAGCAGGAGCTGAGCTGACTGGGTTTTGGCTTTCAGCAAAACTGTGTGCTGGAGCTGAAGGATGGGGATGCGAGGGGTCGAGATCAGGCTGAGGGGTGGAGAGCTGGGAGAGCAGAGGAAGAAAAGGCTGGGAAGGAGGGACCAAGTGAGGAGAGGCATGGAGCCTGGGAGGGAAAGGAAGAGGCAGCCAGGGAGTCCTCAGACAAAAGACAAACAGGATCTGAAGCCAGTTTCCTGGAACCATCAATATAATCCTGAAAAGGAATTAGCACAACTCCTGGACCAAAGGAGACAAGGGCAGCAGATCGCTCCCTAAAAGGTGAAGCACATACCCCAGGTTGGCTTCTGGTCACCCCTAAGTCAAAGTGAGCCTGGAGAACAGACCAGCTCTCTTTCCCCGAGACAGAACCAAAGGAGACAAGACAGAAACACTAATAACAAAAAACACTAAAAACATTTCTGCCTCTGGGCAGAAATCTGTCCAGAATGCATCCAGTCACTTACACAGTCTGGCCAGCCAGCCATTTAAAACCCAGGTCTCCCAAACACTCATGGAAGGCAGAATCAGAATCCTAGGTCCTCTACTGGTGTCCCAATATAGTATGAGAGGACAAGGGTCGGCTTCTTGTCAGGGGTTTCCTACCCAGACCTTAAGAGGGCTCCTCAGGAGGCCTGGCCTTCTTAGACCTTAAGGCTCCTTAGGAAGCCTGGCCTTCTCAACCAGAACTGAATTCGAACACACTTAATTCAGAACCAGGACTCAATCTATTTTGTCCGGGAGTACAGCAGACATTACAGCTGTCTCTGGACTTGGTGCGAGGCACGGAATGTCTTCAGCCCCCAACTCCCACCCCTACATCCTTCCTCCCTAGTTGGGAAGGTCTGGAGTGAGGCTAAGTCCTGTGGGGAGGGGGCAATTTCCCTGGGGCTTCTCAAGTTCAGATGAAAGTTACAGACTAACACACATAATAAGGCCAAATTTAGAGTCCTTCAGTAGCCAAGGACCAAGGACAGGCCCTTGCCCCACAGAGGCTCTGAGCATGGAAGCTCAGGGTACAGCATTTCTAAAGACAAAACCCATGACATTATTGTCAGTCAAGGGAACCAGGTTTTGACTATACATTCAGCAGGTATTTTGTTCATTCATCTGGTCAGAGGAAATTCCTCCGTGCGCTGCCAAGGTGGATGGGACCGTTTAGTGGGCAAGATGGCATTACCTGAGTCGCTTCAGGAGGGAGTCCAGGCAACACAGGAATAAGGGCACACTGCAGCAACTCTGGTCTGCTGTCACCAGCGGTGGGGAGGGAGGGGACAGGAGAGCCAGGCAAGGGAGGAAGCTTGCCTAGCCTTCTCATAGAGTTCTAAAGGGGTTTTCTTCTTTTGAGACAGCAGCTCCCTACGTAGATCTGGCTGTCCAGGAACTCAAGTGCTGGGATTAAAGGCGTGCGCTACTCCACCTTGCTTCTGAAGGGCTTTTCACCTGGAGAAGAGCTACTTGGATGTCACAAGTAGCAAGAAGTGGAATAAGCAAAGACAAACAATTGGTTGGAATGTCAGGCTGGAAGTTGAAAGAGCTCCAGCTGTAGTACAGTCAGAGGCAAAGGGAAGATGGATGTCCAGAAGTTACACTCAACGGATGACTAGTTGGGATTGGATGGAGTATAAAGATGTGCTATGGAATGATCCTTCTCTACACTGTGAATGTGTGTGTTGCTGTCATTGGTTGATAATAAAGCTGTTTTGGTCTATGGCAAGGCAGGATAAAGTTAGACAGTACAATCAAACTGAGGACTGGGATGAAGAAGGGCAGAGTTGAGACTCAAGCCAGCCGCCCAAGGAACAAGATGCCAGAGGATAAACCATGGACCATGTGGCAATAAATAGATGAATAGAAATGGGTTAATTTAAATGTAAGAGCTAGTTAGTAATAAGCCTGAGCCATCGGCCATGCATTTATAATTAATATAAGCCTCTGTGTGGTAATTTGGGAAGTGGTTGCCAGGTATTTGGGATTGGGTGAACAGGACAGAATGCTCTGCCTCTTTTACAGAGATGCACAGGTAGAACTTCACCAAGTTGGGCTATGCAATGTTAAGCAGATATAGACAATGCTGAGAAAGAATGGTATATGTGCCAGGTAGTGATGGCACATGCCTTTAATCCCAGCACTTGGGAGGCAGAGGCAAGCGGATCTCAGTGAATTTAAGACCAGCCTGATCTACAAAGTGAGTTCCAGGACAGTCAGGACTGTTAAACAGAGAAATCCTGTATCGAAAAACCAAAAACCAAAAAAAAAAAGAAAGAAAGAAAAAGGTATGTGTGAATATACCATATTCAAATATAGTATATTTGAATATAGTATATTAAACACGGTATATTTCAAATACACTATATTTGAATATAGTAGTATATTTAAAGTCTGTTGCCCAAGTGCAGCTCTAGTAGACATCTGAATAGTCAAACACTGTCAGTTAACAAGAGATGACCATACTTGGTCTTTTCAAATTACTCTGATTAACCTCATAGCTGTTTAAGTATCACGACTGTACTCACACAATGACGTCTTGCCACCCTATGCAACCCATGACTACTCAAGTACACCAACGATCAGCCTCGCTGCACCTTCACAGCTTTACTGGTCTTCTGATATTACATAGTCCTGGCACTCAGACCCACCTGCCTCTGCCTCTCAAGTGTGCACTGCACCACCACACTCACCTCCCAAGGCCTTTTTAATGAGGTGACTTTGAGACTATGGGGATGGGAGTTATCCTAATAAGATGACAACATGCAGACTGTGCTGCTCATTCCCTTAAATATCAGAACTTAGCTATCCGGGCAAGATACCTGGCCAGACTGGGCAGCTGGGGATGGGAGGGAGGCTCAAAGCTCGTCATTCCCTTTCCAATGACAGCTGTAGTTGAAATGGCACCTGTTTATCAGAATTCTGTCCAAACCCCAGGGGCTACCCTATGGGCAAAGAAATCATTCTCTGTAGGCACGATCCCTCCTCAGCTAGACATGTTGGGAAGAACTGTGGTCAATGCAATGTGAGTGAAGCGTTACGTCATAAAGCAGATCTTTATACCACTCCATGTGGTTCTGCCAGCTTATCCTTTTTCCTTTGCTGCCAAGCCTGCATGCAGCAGCTTATGGACCACAGAAAGTGAGGCAGGCACCCTTACCATTAAACTAGAAGTCTCTGGGCTAGTATGGTCTGATTAGCAGATAGGATCAATTCCCACACTCCTTACATAGTCCTCATATCCTAATAAGAATGACTGAAGTAGCTGGCCCTGCCCCTTGCTGGATACTGCAGCAGGAAAGCTTTCCCCACCCCTCACCATGGGCATGCACTTTCCCTGGGCAGCGACCCCATTGTCAGGATAGCTGGACCCCCCTCTTCATCTGCCATGTGGCAGCATCTGTGAGGGAAAGCTCCTCCCACCCCCTTGCTACCCGTGGCAGGCAAAAGAGATCTCTGTGATCATGAGAACTGGAGGCCTGTCCCTCACCGGCTGCAGCACATGGTAAACTGGCCCCCACACCCAGCCTGGCAGTACATTAGAGCTGCCCCTGTTGGGGATGGCGCAGGTGAGCCAACCCTGAGGGTTATGAGAGCAGGAGAGCTGACCGTGTACCGTACCTGGGCAAGACAGTGGATCTGGTGTACGTGTGGGTGAGCTGGACCCAGGGCCTGAGAGCAGAACGGCCCCGCTTCTTACTGCAGGCCACACTGGGTGGGCTGGCTGAGGCAGTGCCGGAGAGTTCATCCAGGGGGTGATGATGGGGGGAGCTGACGGGCTGACCAACCTGGCTACCACCCAGGCCCAGGGCTATGAGCAGGGCCACCCCAACATCCACCTCGTCTGTGAGCTGCTGGAGCATGTGAAGGGGACAAACGCACAGATCCAAACAGCAGGATCCCCACCACACAGGACAACAGGATACCCAAAGGAGCTCCAGCGAGAGCCCATTATCCCAGGTGAAGCGGATGTCAGAGGTGTCGAGCCAGACCAGCGAACATTTGCAAGTGAAGAGGGAAGGACTGAAGGGTGAACTGTGTGACTCACTGGGCCACACGACAGCTCCCACGGTGGGATTCTCCCTGCCCCCCACCCCCGCTAGATTTTCTTTTAAAATTTTTTGGGGAGAGGGGTTGCAAGGGCAGAGAAAGGATGGGGGTGGGGAGGTGGGTGAGATCAGGATGTATAATGTGAAATCTTCAAAGAATCAATAAAAGCTAAAAGAATGATCAAAAATTAACTCAACAATCATTTAATAGCTTTCAGAATATAAGCTGCATAGCGTTTTCGAATAAAAATAATATAACTTTAAGCACATGCTTCGGACACTCTGTTAAACAATAAGCAACCTGTCTTTGATGACCGTCACAGAAGGGTGGCGCACGTCACAGTGTAAGCTGCAAACAGACACGGAGACAGATGCACAGACACTGTCTACAAACAACATTTAAATAGAACACAGCACGTGATTTCAAGTATTCAAACACTGCTTTCTGGCCAAGGAAACCTGCCCCCACCTCCTAGCAAACCAAACCCACCACAACCATGCTCGGTGTGAGCGAGGAAGATGGAGCGGCTTAGCTCTCGTGGATACAGCATTATTCCTGTCCACAGGGAGACTGGCTCGGGGCCTGAAAGCAGTATGAGGAACAGTTCCTCCTCCTGACACGGGGAAGGGCGGCTAAGGGATAAGTCACAGCAAGGGGCTCAGGCAGTCAGAATGAAGAAGGGGTCCCTTTCCATTATTGCATAGTCTCCCCAGCAGCCACTGTGAAGGGCACAAAGAGCTGCTTCGTTTCCGCACAGCTCTACGCTCATCTTTGCTGAGAACTCTGCTGGGTGCGTTATGAGAACATCCCCGCTACGTTTCCTGCCTTCTAAGCAGGATAAGTAGCACCCAACCAAGGAACTCTACAGGTAGAGCTTAAGGCAAGGACCAACAGGATCTCCAAAGGACCGGCAGAGGCAGCCCCGTGCTCCCGGAAGCATTTCCTCAAGAAGGGTGTCGAGGCCACTGCCAGAGGAAAGTAAGTGGCTGGACTCCAGAGAGGGGCAGGGTGACCTCTACCCGGTCCCCAGTCCCAAGCCCGCCCGGTATCGGTATCGCTGTGAGCTTCAGGGCTCGGCACAGCAGGGAACTCAAGAGCTCGCTAAGCTCTGCTCGGGTGTAATACAACGTATAGTGCAATCTTGTTTTGTTTTGTAACTGCTGGATACATTAAAACACACACACACACACACACACACACACACACACACACACACACACACACACACACACCAGAACCCAGATGAAGCAGTCTCAGAGCCTGAGTTCACAATGGTTGTCTAAGGGATCCCAGGGGAAGACGCTGAGGTCACAGCATTACCACAGGCGGGTTCTGCTCTATGAGTGGTCAGATGCTGTCACCAGCTCAAACCACTGCCTCAGGGCATCACTGAGGGTCTCAGGAAGTGCATTCACATCTCGGAGAATGATGTAAAATGGAAAGGGGAACTCTTCCATGTAAGATCGGATTTCAGGCATCTCTCCTGGTCCTTTAAATATTGGTACTTTAATGTCCAAGATAGAATCCTGTTAACAAAAGACATTTGGAAAGAAAGAGAAAACATAGATCAGATTCCTGACGAGCTCATTGGTGATCTTGTTAGCTGACAAACTTCTTATTCCTACATAAGAGGCATTTCCAAAGCGTTCGCCAAGAAGGCCGCTCTCTCTGAGTTCCCCTTCAGGACAAGGGGCAGTTCGAGGACGAGGAACAAAGAGGAAACTCTCCTGGCAACAGTGTCTGTGTGCTGTGCGGAGAAACCCCCACTCACCGCAGCCAGCACCAGTGCAGGCCGCAGCTACTGCCCCTGCAGTTCGCCAGCGCCCGGGGCGAGGGGAGGCTGGTCTCTCCCGAAAGGTGCGCGGGCCCACCGGGACAACTGCCATACTTCTCATCTAGAGGGAGCCTAGACTCCAGAGGAGGGCTTGTGAGGTCTGCGACTCCCTGCTTTCCTACTCACGACCTATGTTCTTTCTGTGTTGGGAAGGATGTTCTTCACGCGTGGGAAGCTTAATGAAGAAAATGGACAAAGCACCAGCACCTTAGATGACAGAGCTGAGCCAGACCCCAGAGCAAGTTCAAGGGGCCCATTTTTATGCAGAATCGTGGCTTTTGGCCATCACTCACCCGTGAGTTGGGATTATCCAATACAACAAAAATGACGAAGATGTTGGCATTCTGGGCAGCCTGGACTGCCGCCAGGACTCTGTCTTTGCCTTCGAGGAAAAGGCCTCGTCCATCAGAAACTATGAGGAGTAGCTGTGCAGTCTCTGTAGAGGCCGTACATTAGACGAGGAAGGGAGAAAGAAAAACCCATTAACAACTGAAACCATCCGTGGGTCTCTAAAGGCAACCAGAGCCTGGAACCGCCACAATGTGCACACACGGGAGAGGCCCATCATCACACCTGAGCCCATCAGACTCAGGAGACACAAGACACTCAATGATCAGTACGGCAGACTCTTCCCTTAGTGCTCCACGGAAGGTCAAATCTAGATCAACTCCAATTGTGAAGCAAGTGACTTTGGCCTTGAACTCAGAGATCCACCTGCCTCTGAATCTTGAGTACTGAGATTAAAGGCTCATGCCACCACTGCTTGGCCAAAGATTTTGTTTTCGTTTTATGTATATGAGTGTTTTGTCACATGTAAGTGTACCACATCCATGCACCATCCAGAGGCCAGAAGAGGGTATCCATTCTCCTAGAACTGGAGTCATAAGCAGTTGTGAAGTGCCACGTGGGTGCTGGGAACCGAACCCCTGTCCCCTGCAAGAGCAGTCAGTACTCTTAGTCACTGAGCCATCTCTCCAACCCTGCAACTGACTTTAAAGTGCAGCAAGTGTGGACCAGGCTCAGCAGGTAAAGGCTCAGCTATCTGACTGACAACCCAAGCTATTCCTTGGGACTCAGATGACTGAAGAGAGATGAGGCCACGCGTTGGTGGCGCACACCTTTAATCCCAGCACTTGGGAGGCAGAGGTAGGGGGATCTCTGTGAGTTCGAGGCCAGCCTGGTCTACAGAGCGAGATCCAGGACAGGCATCAAAGCTACACAGAGAAACCCTGTCTTGAAAAACCAACAAACAAACAGAGTCAACTCCCATAGGCCTTGTCATCTACAAGCCTTATGGACTCCAACGACGACGGAGATGAGCAGGCCACTAGAAGTGATCAAATCAGCAACCTAGAGTTATGCCCTCCAAATTTCATACACATTGCTTCCTGGATTTTTGCCAATTTCATGTTTCTGATTCCCTTCCCTTTCCTCACCTGTCCGAACCAGGGCTAAACAACTGGGGTATTTCAAGCCTGAAAGCAACCAGTTACATGAACTCAGTTCCATCCACCTTACTCCCTTCCTTTATAACTCTGCACTTAATAACTTACCACATAAATGTCTACTAATTTGTATCTAGTGCCTTTAGCACTTATAAGCATTGAAAATTAGTTCAGCATAAATTTCAGAATAAATAATTCTATCACTGATTCCATCTTTTTATGTTTTTCCTATAGAGAATACATTTTGTAAAAAGGTGATGGGGGGTTGGAGGGACTCAGGAGATGGTTCAGTTGATAATATCCAAGCATGGACCTGACTTAGGATTCCCAGCACCTACACAAAAGTCAGGTATGACAATGCATGCCTGTAATCCCAATGTTGGAGAGTGGGAGAGAGGGGAAACCTGGGGTCTGATGGCCAGTCTAGCTGTGAGTTCCAGGTTCAGTGAAAGACCCTTTCCCAAAACATAAATTAATAAATCAGCTGGGTGGCAGTGGCGCTCGCCTTTAATGTCAGCACTCGGGAGGTAGAGCCAGGTGGATCTCTGTGAGTTTGAGGCCAGCCTGGGCTACAGAACGAGATCCAGGATAGGCACCAAAACTACACAGAGAAACCCCGTCTCGAAAAACAAAAACAAATAAAGTAATAATAATTAGTAAATGAACAGACAAATAAGTGATCAAGAAAGATTCCCAGTGTCAACCTTGGGCTTGTACGCACGCACGCACGCACGCACGCACGCACGCACGCACGCACGCACGCACGCACGCACGCACGCACGCACGCACGCACGCACGCACGGACACATACATACTCACTCACTACTTAAAAACAAAAAAGATGGTGATGGTCAGAGAGTGAGGAAAGAAACAGCAAAGACAGAGAAGCAATTTGCCAGCAAAGAGGCTCACCTGGGCTGACGTTCTGTGCCAGTTTCTGGGCAGCTGCAAACATTCTGGCTGCAGACTCTAGAAACTAACAAAAGCAGCACAGATCAATACCCCCTTTCCTGCTTAGAGATCTCTGACACAGGACCTGTCTTCACACTAGGCCGCATTTACCACCAAGCACTGGCATGCTCAAGTACAGACAAGACCATCACTGGCCAGTGGCTCTCTTAGTGCCCTACAGGGCACCAAAGGAAGAAAGACGATGGTAACATGAACAGTCATGAACAAAAGTTTCCTTCTTTCAAGAAAATACACCTGGTGAGCAAAGTAGAAGGCAGATTGAGAGCAAGAACTGAGAACAGAGGAAGGCTGTTGTTCATCTTCCTCAGGAAATCACTAGCTCTACTTCCTAGCATTTTGTCTCTAGGCTTGATGGGAGAGAGCCTAGGCCCAAACTCACCAGAGTGATAGGATACTGGGCACTAACTTTGTTTTTTAAATGTTTAAAGTGCTCAACTGTGCTAACATCAGTGATCTTTGAGGACTGAGAAAAAGGAGTCACACTTTGGTTAAAGAAGCCAACGAAACTGTTCTAGTAGCACGTAGGCTGAGGTCACTACCGTGTATTCTCATGCTACCTCTCTTAATTCCAGAATGGAGACGGGGGTTTCTAAAAATTAATGTCTCTTAACATCAGCTTTAGAATTTTTTTAAAATGTGTAAGAGCACTCTATCTGCATACACATCTTTATGCCAGGAGAGGGCATTAGATCCCATTAAAGATGGCTGTGAGCCACCACCATGTAGTTGCTGGGAATTTGCAGAGACCCAAAGAGGTTTCCTAGTGAGACCTTACTCAGGGTCCAAGATTCTGAGCTTGCTTTATCCAACAGGGCTGTATAAGGGGATGATTGGACCATGGACATGGTTACCAGGTGTTTGGAAGGCTCTGCACTTGGCTGTGCGGTATGCTTTGATCTAGCAAGGGGGAGGTCTTTTGCCCCACCCCTTGGCATTGTTATAAAAAGCCCTTTTGAAGAGACAGAAGGGGCCGGTGGATTTTGATCCAGGTCCTCCCGAAGCTTTCCTGTGCTACTGTCTGTCTCCTCTCCACTATCTTTCTATCTAAAAGTTTCTTATTCCTCTCTCTTCTTCATAGGAACCCTTTGAAAGGTGGGAGCTGGCCTCCCGCAGGAACTGAACCCAGGCCCTCTGGAAGAGCAGCCAGTCCTCCTGACTGCTGAGCCCTCTCTCCAGCCTCCATATTCAGGATCTGTGCAAACCATCCCGACTTCATCAGAGTACCTGAGCAATCTTAGTCTTCCTCTGTTGGAACTTGCAGAGTCGTAGAATCTGAGACCCAGAAGAGTCACCGAACTGCTCGTGGAACGGATGCAACAGCTTCACCGATTCTCCAAAACTGGGAATAAAAACCACATACAACATGATTTTTTTCCAGTCATGTGATCAAAACAATAAAGGTTGGGGGACAGGATTTCACCACTGGGATTAAAAGGAAACATTAGAGCTGGGCGGTGCTGGTACACATCTGTAATCCCAGCACTTGGCAGATTTCAAGTTCAAGACCAGCCTGGTCTACAAAGCGAGTTCAAGGAGAGCCAGGGCTACACAGAGAAACCTTGTCTCAAAACAACAACAACAACAACAACAACAACAACAACAACAACAACAGCAAGAACAACCTCCAAACCCCCAAATCCCAAAGGTAACATTGGGGGATGAAGAGATGGCTCAGTGGTTAAGCCAAGAGTTTAAAGAGCACTTCTTCCAGAGGAGCCAGGTTTGGGTCCTACCACCCACCCCACGTGGTGGCTCACAACGGTCTGTAATTCCAGTTCAGGGGACCCAATGCCTCTTCTGGCTTCTAAGGGCATTGCATGCATGTGGTGCGCAGACATACACAAAGGCAAAATACCCATCTATACATAAAATAAAAATTTAAAAAGGCTTTAAAAGACAACATTACCTGCACACTGCAATCTGACCCACTTCCAGGAGAGTTAGAGCATTACCAATCACAGCCAAAGACTCAAATGCAAGCTATGAAGAAGAAAGGAGAGTTTAAGGCATTGAAACTCCTCTAAACCAGTTCGCTTCAAGATTTCATAAAACATTACTTTTTGTATGGCAAATAGGTGAACAACAGTCCTGAAATGTCATACGACCAACTCAGGCTGGAGTGACCCTCACACCCTCCTCTGTACTGTAGCTGCTTCAACTCAAATGCATTACACTGATAGGAATGGTCTGCTCTGGACACTACTGAGAAGTATGTTTCATAAATGCAGATTTTCTTTCTTTCCATAGCAGAGCCCACATAAAATCTTTTTCTGCTTGTTGCTCCCAACCCCTTCACAAGACAGGGTTTCTCTGTGCAGCTTTGGAGCCTGTCCTGGAACTTGTTCTGTAGACCAGGCTGGCCTTGAACTCACAGAGATCCACCTGCCTTTGCTTTCCGAGTGGAGTGCTGGGATTAAAGTCTTGGTCAGACTGCACTACTGAGTTGGAAGATTTTATGACCAGGATTCTTTGGCAGGATTTCCGAGCCCTGCCTCTGCTCTGCAGAGGGTCTTTTCTCTGTGTCTGCTGTGTGCATGTTTCCTCACCCATGAACACTTTCCCTCAACTGCTGATTTTGTCTGTGATGCCTGAGATTTCTCTGCTGCCATCTGTTGCCCTTCAGATTTTTCCTGCCTTTTAATTCTTCAACAGGCAGAGGAAATGAACCTAATCAAGACCCCTACAGTGTAACACTAGGTCTTAGAGTGCTGGAGAAGGATGAGTTTTGAAAATGGAAAACTGAAAGGAAGGGGGCACCTTGTATTTTTCTAAGTGATCTGAAGACCCCCCCCCCAAATTTACTATTTCTTTCCTTTCCCCCAAGTGGAAGGGAAAAAATGTGCTTATTGTTTTTCTTTTGTGCTTCACTGCTCCAAGACCCTTTGCAGTTTAAAGATAGGCCCAAAGAAACTGTAACTATCAAGTCAGCCAGGTAATCTCCTGAAATGAAATGACTCATATTTGGAAATAATATTCCCATCTATATAAAAATCTAGCTCTAGCTCACCATGAAATAAATTGGAAGAAGAAAAATTTTATTCATTTTAAAATGGTTACTAGAGCTGGGTGATGGTGAGTCCAGCCTAGTCTACAGAGCGAGTTCCAGGCCAGCCAGAGCTGTTATGCAGAGAAACCCTGGGGGGAGGGGGAAGCAATTACTAGGTATGCATAATTGTTTGGAGGAAATGTTTTAAGGTTGCCAATTTGTGGGTTCTAAATTTCAGGTTAGTGCGTAAGCTAAAAAGAATAGTCTTCTTAGGCAGCCACTGAAAATTATAAAGCAGGGGGCATTTCTGTGATTCCCACCTCATTCCATTCTGCACTCCCACACAGCTAAGGTAACAAGAGTTGAACCCTGAGCACAGTCCGCGTGCCTGGTGTGGAGATCACACCACGGTCACATTACCCGTCAGTGCAGCCCTGACGCCTCCCATCTTAGATTCTGAGGTGTGGATTAGCTAAGGATGGCTCACCCACTGCCTTCTTTGGACACTGCCCAGTTTTCCCAGTTAACAGCCCCTTGTCTTTGCTGCAGCAAATACAAATCTCTACTACAGAGTTTCATACACCAACAGCTAGAACGTGGAAAAGATGCAGCAAATGAAGAACTGGACAAGACAGCCACTGAACGTTTGTAAATGAAATGACTGTCTTATGTTTCTTCATTCCTCTGATCAACTATTGTCTCTAAACAAGGCTGTAAGGATACCAGGTTGTCTGTGTAAAGGAGAAGGGAATGAATGAGACGAGCACAAACTCAGTTTTAAAAACAAACCCTCCTTCATTTCTTGATTTTTTCAATTTCTGGGCCAGAACTGATTTACAGGATTCTTTTATCTTCTATATCCCTAAATCAACCCAACATAGAAGTTAGACATAAGGAACATGCAGAACTGTGAGAAAATTAAAAAACAAAACCAAAGACTCATATTGTAACACCCAAATAAGTGACAGCACAGTTCAGAACAAATTAGTTAAAAACACATTAAACTAAGCATTTTAAATACATAGTATTTAATTTAATCTTCACCGCTGAGGTAGGTACTGTTACAATCGTCATTTTTAAAAAAATTTTTTTAAAACTTACTTTTTTTTTGGAGACAGGGTTTCTCTGTGTAGTTTTGGTGCCTGTCTTGGGAGCTCACTCTGCAGGCCAGATTGGCCTCAAACTCACAGAGATCTGCCTGGCTCTGCCTCCCGAGTGCTGGGATTAAGGCATGTGCCACCACCAACTTTTTTTTTAAAAAAAGATATATTTATTTATTATGTATACAGTGTTCTGTCTGCATGTATGCCTGCACACTAGAAGAGGGCATCAGATCTCATTAGAGATGGTTGTGAGCCACCATGTGGTTGCTGGGAATTGAACTCAGGACCGCAGCTAGTGCTCTTAACTGCTGAGCCATCTCTCCAGCCCAATCCTCACTTTTTTTTCCAGAAAGTAAAGTTGCTAAGTTGCCCCAAGTTATGGGGAGGTGGGATGTGAGCCAGACTCAGAGGGTACTTTCTAAGATTTGCTGGAACATTCGTATTGTAGGTCAGTTGTTGGCTTATGCCAGATAATAACACCACTGCAAAAAAAAAAAATCCCCTAGAAACCAAATAGACAATGGTTTCAAAATCCATGTGATATGCAATTTTAAAACAGCTTAATATATTTTTGTATTTTATAGAAAGTAAACACTGCCATATTTGTTCAGTATTAAAACAATAAGGGATCAAAATACTTGCGCCATCATGGAATTGCCCTTTACGCCCTAGAAACACACACCTTCCTAGGCATGGTCAACCACATCCTTTCTGCCCCGCCATACTGTTACAACTGGCCAGCTCGAGGGACCATGGCTTGGTTTCCACGCTCCTCCTCACCTGTTTGGTGTGGTTATCTACCATGCTGGAAGAGTCATCAATGGCCAGACAAATCTGATACTGCCGTTTACTGGGCTTGGTCCTTCGAAGCCAAATCCTGTCTTTTCGAAACTGACTGGCAATGTATGGAATGATCTTCCGCATGTTCAGTCGCTTGCCCGTGCGATAGTCTCCCCTGTTACAGGAACCAGGAAAGACGGTGTAACACAGGCTCACGCCTCAGAATTTCAAGACAAAAATCACATCAGTAATAACAAACTAGTGTCCAGTAACTAGTCCCCAGGCAAAAGGAGGTTAACATTCACTGAAGAGTGAAGGTTAGTCTTCTAACTGCCAGCTAGAGCCCTGGCCTCAGATCTGACTCTAATAACTAAGTTTTTTCAGAAAAGCTAAGACACCTTTTACAAAATTAGAAAATAAATTTTTCTGTATTAAATACAAAGCCCCGTAAGCTTCCCTTTTCTGTTCTAAACCACGACTCGACCACATCTTTGTGGCCCTGATCATAGCTGAGTAACACAACATAGTGAACATCACCACATCTAAGGCTGTTGCCCACACAGCAGTAATATAAACTGCCTTCATGAATATATTTCTTTTTTCTTTTGGTTTTTCGAGACAGGGTTTCTCCGTGTAGTTTTGGTGCCTGTCCTGGATCTCACTCTGTAGACCAGGCTGGCCTTGAACTCAGAGATCTGCCTGGCTCTGCCTCCTGAGTTCTGGTATTAAAGGCGTGCACCACCGCCGCGGCCCGGCCATGCATATATTTCTTCACCACAGAAATGCATGTACACACAGTTACTATGTACAGCTAATAGGGGACAGTAGCAGGATCGAACACCATATTGGTGCCCAGACAGCAGAAGCCAACACTATACATGTTCAGTGCTGAGTGCAACTGAGCTGGTTAATGGTGACCTCTAAGGGCCTCAAGAGGGAAGACTCACCTCAGCTTGGCTGCCTGTGTAGGTTCTAATAGCAGACGAAGCTGCTCACACAGCTGTTGTGAAAGAGATGCAGTTAAGACTAGGTAATTCTGCCACATCTCAGCTGCAGCCTTCTCCTAGGACAGCAAAACAGAAATCATTACTAGAATGTTGAGGGAGAAAAGAACTTGCATGAACCCTTTCAGCAAAAGCACTTTAAAGCTCTTCTCAGCAAGTGGCAACTCAACTCAATCCATCAGTAAAAATGCCTCCTTTTGCCCCCAAACCCACAACCTACAGTTGCAAGAAAAAGAGTGAAATAGGCCAGTTAACCATGGGAACTCACAAACAAATCAACCATGTGCTCCTGTCACCTAAAGAATAGGACCTGCATGCTTTTCACAGCGGCATATGTGAATGAGGAACTCTGGGTGGGGCTGATGTCGCCGCCACTCTGAGCTCCCATCAGTTTTCAAAGGCAAAGTGACAGTAAGTACAAACTCCTCTCGACAGCATGGATCCAGACTAACGGCAGAACACTTGATCACATGAGGTGGGAAGGAAGACGATAAACACAGAGTATAGGTTTGCACACACACCACTATATTTAGAGGTCAAACCATTAAAATGAAATACACTCTACAGCCAGCAAAGATCTGGAAGATGGCAAGACGCCACAGCATGCACTTCTTTCTGCCTCGCTTCCATTCCAAAGCCAGCAACACAAGTTAAAGGAACAAAATACAGACGTGTGTTTTAATGAGACTATACATAGATCTAGTGACAAAAGAGGCAGAATCAGTGGAGACCCAGGCTTACAGAAGAGGCTGACTGTACTCTCTATTGGCCTCTCCCTTTTACAAATGTAACTGGAGCCAAGAACCTACTGAGTTGCAAACTCTTTTGTGGGAAGAAAAAAAACATGCAGCAGCTCTGACTTACTTCTTCTGCATCCCCATAGTCGTGGGCCTGCCACGTCTCCAGCTGCCGCTCCATCTCCTGCCTCAGCTCACTGACATCTTTTAAAAGGGGCTAAGAAGGAAAAGCTACAGGTAAGTGGTGGTCAGGTTGTTATCAACAACTTATCATTGGCTGTCTTCCTGTGGTGTGACCTTGTTGCACTTATATGTCTGAACTCACAACTTAAGCAAATTTAAGGGTGCAATCAAATGATTCCACTTCCTGTTTGCAAGACCACATGGATGAGTGAAAATTTCATCATTTATAAATACAGTTTAGTCAAATAAAAATAAACCAAGCCCTCGTGTGTGTGTGTGTGTGTGTGTGTGTGTGTGTGTGTGTGTGTATAGAGATGCATGTGTACATGTGGAGTCCAGAGGATATCAGACAACCTCAGGGCTTTCTCTTCCAGAGCCACCTACTTTCTGATAAACCTCTATCTCCATGAAGTCCAATTAAAAGGCTCTTCATGTGGCTGGAGAGATGGCTAAGTTAGTATGTGCATGTCTTGCAAGCATGACCTGAATTCTAGCCTCAGAACCCACGCACAAAAAGCCAGGCATGTGCTGATACACTTTTAGTATCAACACTAGGAGGTAGAGATAGATGGATCCCTGGACCTGGCTACTGAGCCTCCTCAGCCTCCTTGGGAAGGAGGAAAAAGTGGGTAACACATGAAGAATGACACCTGAGGCTGTCCTCTGGCTTCCACATGTACTCAAACACACAGACCCCACTGACCACCCCTGCACCTTCCCCAAAAAGTTTCTTCCTACACATAAACATTAAGTAAAAAATTCTTGTTACATAACGTCATAAGTTGTCAACTGTCCTCATGGTTCCTAACAGCCAATACCAAGAACCAGTGCCATCACAATGGCTAAGTCTGGGCAAGACTTCATAGTCAACAAAGGATGTACCACTTGCTAAAAGAGTATCTGTCACACTGAAAGTCCTCCTAAAATTTTTGATAAGAGCTGGTATTTCATAAAGTTCTAAAATAACTTAAAACTAAAAATGAATACAGTTGTGAGTTCAGTACTTGGAAAACTGTATCCACAAGCAACTGACGAAGTGTATGAATGGTCGAGTCTCGGCTTCTTTCTGGCTTCTCTGTCTCCTGGTGAGACGTGGTTGTTCTTGGGTCTTGGTCTTCTTTTGTTTGAACTGTTTGAGTATCCATATCCATCTCATTAGAGCCTGTTTTAATAGGAAGACAGTTTTACTCATCACATTATTTAGATTAAGACCTTTCACTATGGCCTGTCCTAACACTGAATCAAACCTCAGCTCACTCAACAATTTCCATGTGTCTCTCTGCTCCATGTTGCTGCCTCCCATCCTTTGGTCTCTGTTGTCACTGCCAATTCTTACTAATTCCCTCCTGCCATCCTGGAAGGGGAAACAGGAAGGAGCAACTTACCTCAAGCATTACAAAAGTGTGACTCCCTAAAGTACTCGTACGACCAATTCTATTGTGAGTCCAGCATGTATGAGGCCTTGGGCTTAGTTCCCAGCACCACCAAACAAGATAACCCATACTAAAAACACTGTTCTATAACAACGCAGTTGGGTTTGAATTCAGGCAAATCTAGTCACACACTTCTTTTGCAGCTGTTTTTAAAAATGATTTTCATGTGTGTCACAGTGGTGGAGGTCAGAGGACAACTTCGTGGAGTTGGTTCTCTACATCCAGTTTCTGGGGCGTTGGGGAGAAAGGGGTCTCCAAGTTTCAAACCCAGGTCTAGGCTGACACAGCAAGCACTTTTAGCCCCGCCCCCTCACCTCTCTGGCCTCGCCTCTGCTTTCCCTGTTGCTGAGGAATAGTTAGTGACAGGAACAGGCAGAAGAAGAACCCTCACATTTGCCACAATCCTTAGGGTTTTCAGAGGGTTTGTTAGACTGGTGGAAGTTATTTACTTTTCAAGAGTGCACACATCCAGCACCTCAACTGTGGATGTGGGTGGTGCATGCCTGTACTGTCAGCACTTGGAATGCCCAGGAAGACTGAGTACTAGGCTGGAATCCCATCTCAAAGACTGAACTAACCAACCTGCCTTGGAACAGAATTTGGTTAGCCATGAAATGGGAACTTGTTATCTTTTCACATACATTTCCTCATTTTATTTCTTTTACTATTTTTAATATTCTTTCCTCTATGTTTATACTTTAATGAGGCCAGCCTGGGCTACCAAGTGAGTTCCAGGAAAGGTGCAAAGCTACACAGAGAAACCCTGTCTCGAAAAAACCAAAAAAAAAAAAAAAAAAAAAGAGAGACATTATTCTGTTTTTCCATATATGTTTAAAAAAAACCAAAAACCCATGAATTTGTCAGAAATTGTTTCACCTTGATGACTGATATTCTGCAAGACCATCTTTCATGTCTCAGATTACGGTAGGTGAATTATTCACTAAAGACTAGACCAGGAAAGAGCAAAGAAGAGCCTTGACTACAGTTGCCTCTGGACTTTCTAGGCTCTTCCTTCCCAAGGACTCACCAGAGGCCACAGCAGTATCTGACTTGACTGCCTCTGGCTTCAGCTGTTCTGTGTCTTCTGCTCTGAGCAGCTCCTCCTCTGTATGCATGAGGATATCTTCCGTTTCCTCCTCTGCATCCTGTCCAGAGTTCTTTGCAGTCTGCTGTTGTTCATTACTGGCCACATCTGCCAACAGTGCACAGAGGGAGAAAACGTAATTTTTCTGCAGAGCAAAATGATGCTGAATGAATTACTGTCTCTGTCACTTTCACTTTTCAAGATTCTAACAACTCTGTTCTGCCACTGACCAACCAGGGGCCCAGACACTTGCTGGGGCCTCAACAGCTCCCACTGTCTACCTCCTAGAGAAGTTATAAAGATAGTATGCATATACACACACATCACCAGAGAAACAAGCATTTATCTGGGTTTTTACTGATGTAAACAGAAAGGACAGTGTGGAGTAACTTGTGAGTAGACAAACTAGATATAAAATGGGGGACAGAAAGTCTAAGCATTTCAATCTTGAACAAATTCAACTTGAAGACCTCATAGCCCTCAGAGATTTGAGAAATTCTATAACCATGCATTTCAATGTTTCTGACATAAAGTAAAAGATGAATATATTCTTGCCAAAGCTATGACTAGACTAGGCGTGATTCAGTCTCTCTCTCACAGGCTGGCCACAAGCCTGTTCTGTAGCCAAGGATGACCTTGAACTTCTAATGCTCTGGAGTGCTCCTTACTCCACAGGCATCCCACGTAGCTTTGTGTAGTGCTGGGAATCAAATCCAGGGCTTTGTACATGCTAGGTAAGCACTCCTATCAACTGAACTAACAACTAGGATTCAGGATCCATTCACTATCCACTGCCCATCACCTTCAAGTCATTAAGTGTTTCTAACACTGGGGGTCCAGTGTTACACAGGGGTCCACGGTGGGGTCTTGTCTTATTAGATGCTATGAAACACCACCCTAATGTGAGCAAGGAACAAGACCATGCTCTAGCCTGAGGGATGATCTGGACCAATTATATATACACTGATCAACTTTCTCTTTGCTGTTCCTAACACGGTAAGAGAAATAAAGCATTATCATCATTTCTGTTCTGTGCTCAGAGGTACACATCACCCATACCAGTTCACTCCCGGAAGAAAGGAATGAAAAGACAAAGGAACTGGGATGACTGGCCACTGACTTTCCCCTTCCAGTTCTATTACCGCTGCTCACTGTTCAAGGACATTCAAGAATGTTCACTACCAAGAAACGAAAGGTTAGCACCAGGTTTATAGCATATGGCCAGCTATCTGTGAGGACAGAAGGCTTATTGGAGAACCCTGACCATTTACACTAGAAGATGGTTATCTTAGTACTAGAACAAGTTGTATTTCTGCCTTACACAAAGTCTCTCTTGTACTGAGAGACTAGTTTAAAAAGCTATTTCTTTCCCCTCTACTTTGCCTGGCACACATAGTCAGAGAATGCTCTGTGAGCAGAAGGAGAAGTATTCCTGGCACCATACCATAGGTTTGTGCGTCGTATGCATCACTGCCTTGCTTAATATGTTCAAACGTGTCTGAGTCTTCCACCCGAGCCTGAGGCTGGGCTGGCCCTTGCTCGGGGTTTCGGTCTGTATCCACAGTCCTCAGCCTCTTATGCACATGCTCATTGTGGTCACCCATGGAGCGTTCGTTGTCAGCCTGCCCAGGTTTCCTCTTAAAACTCTGCAGGAATTAATGAGACCATCAGAGCCTTGTCTGCAATGGCAAAACCTTCAAACAACCAATGCTCATCCACAGGGAGTAGGTTAGTTAGGGACAGCCACACAACAGCGGAATTCAATACAGCTTATTAAAGGTTTTTTTGTTTTTCCCTCTCTTGGAAGTCAGACTGGCCTTGGATTTGCTATGTACCTAAGATAACCTTTAAACCCCTGATCCTCTTGCTTCTGCCTTCCAAATGCTGGGATACAAGGTATATGCCACCATGACTGGATCTATGATATAATTCACGACGTCAAGAAAGCAAAGTAACACACACATGGATATGTGAAAGTGGTAGCACTGACTTGCTCTGTGCAAGGTCCCTTTGGTGGTTTGGGGACAGAACAGCATGTAGGCTTTTAGGAGACCATTTGGTTTGGTTTTTGAGTATAGGAATTTCACGGGCATGAATATACTCTGTTTTAAAAACTGTTAAGTTTGAAAAGCAATGGGCAATATAAAGAGTGAGACTGGTTAGTTGGTGCTAGATAGCAGCACACAGATCTTAAGCTCTAGAGCAGGAACAGGAAAACCCTGGGAAAACCTGATTCAGGTCTTCTCTCCAAGACAAGTTTGGTAAGGCAGCCAAGCTAGAAATGTGGCCATTTGTCGTTTTTTCAATGGTTATGTGTGTGTGTTCATGTGTATGCAGAGCTCATGGAGATCAGAAGAGGCATTAAGGTCCCCTGGAACTGGAGTTACAGACAGTTATGAACTGCCAAGTTATGCAGGTGCTGGGACAGAACCTGGGTCCTCTGCCAGGGCAGTAAGTGCTCGACTGCTGAGACATCTCTCTGGCCCCATCAGTGGGTGTTTAAACCACTTCATTTAGAGTATCTTTTCCTACCTGCCTTCATCTAAATCTAACAAAGAATGATAGAAACCTGGGTATTTTTGTTGGTGTGCTGCTGGGAGGCCAAACGTGCAATCAAGTTGGATTCGTGTCCTTCTGCTTGGTTTGCATCCGCAGCTCCAGTGCCATGTTCCTAAGAGATCCAAACCGGAAGGGAAGGAAGAAGAAGATGCTATTAAAGCAATGGTTGCTGTGCTGCACCGGGTCCCACTTCTCTCAGTGCTCCACTAATCTCAGGAGGCTAATTCCACCCCTAACAAAAGCCCTGCTTGTGGACAGCAGCACAAAACTGAACTAATCCCAGGGCCCTGGCCTTGCTGATTGTTCCTTGTCTATGGGAATATAAGGTCTTTTTCTGAAGGCAGACAGACCAGGCTCAACTGTCAACCAGTTTATGCACCCAGAGTTGTCACTTAATTTTTCCTGAGGCTTATTTTCCTCAAATATAAAATGTAGAAAACAGAACAGTTTCATCTATTTCTTTGAGCTATTATGAAGACTTGTTGAGCAATGAAAATGTTCAGCACCTAATGGGTACTATATGAATAATGGTAGAATGATGTAAGAAATACAGCTACTGCTGGTGAGGAACTGGCCTTGGAGCATGGGCGGAACAAGTCGGTGATATTCCTTCTTCCCACAGCACTGAGTGAGCTCAAGTGCTGCCATTACCACTAGGCCAAGACTGAATAGTTTTCTTGCAAAATCAGAACACTGAAGCCTACTGAACAGCAGGGGAAACTCAAATACTGTTAGAGGCACAGGGGCAAGAAACCCAATTTTACCTTTCTCCAAGTTCTCAAAAAACTGTAAGTCTAGTGACTTTTTTTAAGTAAGCACATCACTCAAATACAGTCTGCAGCACACAGTCTTAAGTGTGTCCTGAGAAGCATATATAAGTGGCAAGAATGGAAGATGATCCTTCAGACACCAACAATAACAAAAGGATACAACAGAAATCACACATAAAACAACTTGCTGAAGAGAAAGAACATGCTTTTGGGTAGACAGAGGCACTAGGGGTGGGGCATCACCTCTTTGCCCTGCTCCTTCTCTGGCGCAGCTCCAGCTAGCTCCACGGCCTGTGCACTCTGCACACTGTCCACACCAGTCTGCCCGCAGGAGGCATGCTCTTTTCTCTCTGTGGCCTCTGGCACTTCCTCTTCAGCGTCAGACTTCTCTCCTTCCTCTTCCTCTTTCTGCACAGGAAAAACAAACAAGCTCTGGGGGATGAACAGAATGGTGCCCACCAGGAAGCAGGTGCCCTACTCCTTATTAAAGCAGGGGAGGTGCTGTATGGAGGAGACTGGTTAAGAGACTGTAGTAATGAAGAAATATCTTAGGAAAGATTCTGCTGGAAATGAAGAAGTGTTTGTCCTATTACGTTTAATACAGGGAGAGCTCCACATCCACAATACCTGGGGCTGGAGACCTTGGTCAGCAGGGCTGGCCCCACTCTCTCCACCTCTATCAGTGGCAGCCCTGTCATCTTCGTCCTCCTCCTCCTCTGCCACCGCCTCCTCCTCCTCCGAGTGCTCTTCTGCATGGTTGGCTGTATCTTTGTCTTGGTCATCAGCTCCTGTGTCCATATTCTCCTCACCTTCACCAGGGCCTTCCTCAGGCTCACGTGGACTGTCACCTTCACTGGGATCAGCCTCGGGCTCTTCAGTTTCACGGTCTGTTTCTTCCATATCTTCTGTTTTTCCTTTGATCTCCAAAGGATTCTCTTCTGATAGAAACAACAGTTTTTAAAATTCATGATTTCTTAACTTGGGAGGTGGTTCCTCAAATGTTTTATTCAGGGCAAGAGATTTGGCTCAGTGGTGGTTAAGAGAGACCAGTGCCCACATTTCTAGATGTCCTGGGTTCAATGCCCAGCACCCACATGATGACTCACAACTGTCTATAACTGTAGTCCCACAGGATGAAATGCTATCTTCTGGTGCGCGCGCGCACACACACACACACACACACACACACACACACACGGACAAAATACTAATACACATACAGTACACATATAAACATATTTTAGTCTTATTTTTTAAGCCAAACATTGGCAAGCTATAGCCCACAGGCCAAATAATAGTTTTCTACATTTCTGTCAGTGAAGTTTTCTGGGAACACAGCCAAATACATTCTGTTTATGTTTACTCCATCTATTGTTCACTGCCTACAACAGCTGTTACTCTGTAACAACAGAGCTAAGTATCTACCATCGAGATATGGACAAGGAAGCTTAAAATATTATTTGAGGAGGAACAGAGACATGGCTCAGCTGTAAAGACCACTGGCTACTCTTCCAGAGGATCTAGGTAAATTTCCAGCACACACATGGCAGTTCACAACCTTCTTTTTTTTCTTCTTTCTTTTTGAATTTTTTGAGGCAGGGTTTCTCTGTGCAATGAATGTAACAGTCCTAGCTGTCCTGGAACTTACTAGGTAGAGCAGGCTGGCCTTGAACTCACAGAGATCCGCCTGCCTCTGCCTCCTGGGTGCTGGGATTAAAGGCGGGCACCACCACCACAGCCTTGCAACCTGCTGTAACTGCAGTTGCAGATGACCTAACGCCCTCTTCTGGCAGCAGCCTGCATGTGGTGCAGGGACATGTGTGGGAGAATCAACGGGTGCTGAGGTCTAACCTGGGCTCTCCCTGGTGCAAAGCAAGCACTTCACCGGCAGAGCCATCTGCCCGAGGCCCCAAGTCTGACTGACTAGAAGAGTTTCCCTACACTCTAGATCCTTCAGAAAGCTATCAGCCAGTAACCAGCTAATGTAACTATTCTTTGGTTCATATATACAAGTCTAAAAGAGCCTAAATGAAATGGGTATTTAAAGGAGGGTAGCATACTTTATTCTCAGTAGTTTTAATCTTAATTTTATGTGTGCTTGGTTGCTGGTATTAGGATTAAAGTCAGATTCTAAAATTAAGTTTTTATATAAATAGTCTTAATTATTCCTTATAACTTATTTTTTGTCTCATCATACATCTAAAAATTATACAAAATTAAACTTAGCTTTCCTAAATATGTAACTCAGTTAAATCAGCTACCTAGCATCTTTCGGTGAGGTGGAGTAGCATGAGTGAGTTTCCACCTATTACCCTTAGAGGAATCTCTAGCAATGAATTGGGTAGCAGAGGCTCTAATTACTGTCACAGTGTGTGTGACTTTCTTGGAATTATTCGCTCTCATTCTCTATGATCATTCATATTTTAAGAGAGCGATACAGAAGCCAACAGCTGAAACCATCATTTCTCTAGAAGAGCTGTGTAAGAGCTCTGATAGACCAAGACTGCATGGTGTGCACTGACCCACAAGGTGGGAACACAGTGATGGCTTTGGAGAAAGAGGTGTACGTGATAAAGCATTGTCAGTCAACAGCAATTCAAAACGCAGATGGGATGTGACAGCAGAAGAGAGGTGTCACGGTCTATGTAGGCATATTCAAACTGGAAAGGAGCTAGCAAAACAGTATTTCTGACCTTGTCATGCCACTGGCCAAAAAGAGAGCAGTGCTGCCCACTGCCAAAGACGTCTAGCTGTGGGCACCTTGAAAGACGTACCTTCTGCTTCCTCATTGTCTGTATCCTCACCATCATTTTTGTCCTCACTGTCAAGTTTCAAATCATCTGGAAGATCCAAGGCATCAGGTTCTGGCAGCTTTTCCTGATTGCCATGGTAAGGGTCTACCTCATTCTCATCATATTCTCTCTTTGTGACAACAGAAAAGAGCACAGGAGAGCAAACATTATTTCACAAAACCAAAGGTCATGATTTCTTTCTTAATATTACCAGCACATTTTAGTCATTTAAGAGTATTTTTTGGTTTTTCATGTTAGAATTTCAAATTTCATTTTCTGTATAGACTCTCTAAGGGTAATATGTCCTCTGTTACTTCATGTTAAACCTCCAAAACTTACATCAGCACAAACCAATAGTTAAGATACGTTCCCAAAAGGTTTTGATCTCCCTCTCCAACTATGTAGCCCAGGCTGGATGGGAACTCACGATCCTCCTGCCTCAGCCTCATGAATGCTAAGGTTACAAGAGTGCATGCTACCAAGTTTGGCTCTGATGCACACTCTTCTGAAGCATAGTAGAGGAACCAATGAATAGGAAGAAAAAATGTCACAAGACACTCAGAGAACTGCGGTCTTGAGTCAGGAGAGCAAGACACTTCCAAATGTTCATTACCTCGTCAATCTGCTCATTAATTTTCTCTTGGCCTTGTTCACCATCTTCAGGTTCTGATTCTTCCTTCTCATCTTGATGCTTTTTATGTTTGTTTGAATTCCCAGCATCCAAACTGTCATCTTTAGCAACCAGTTCAGAATCTTCCTAAATGAAGAAAGAAAACTGTCATACATCTAAGAAACTGCTTCTGTATGGGCTAGTCCTCAGGTACAGATGACTTCTGCTGTTGGACCCACCCCATACAGACAGGCAGACAGGGCCCTAGGTCTGCCTCAGTAGCAGCAAGAATAGGGTGGAGAGTCGGTCTGGTCGACACACCGTACTCTGCTTCTGCACAGGACCCACCCTGCCGTTCTCAGCAATGAGCTGGGGTCAGCTGCATGGGGAGCACTGGCTTAGCATGGGTGTTTTTAAAGTTCCCTCCTCCACAACACCATACCACACGGGAGGACTCAGGTCAGGCTGCTGCAGGCTCTCAGTGTGAGCAAGAGAAGCAGAAGAGATGGAAGAAAGAGAAGAAAAACATAGAAAAGGAAAAGCAGCAGACAGCAGGGCATGGGGGAGGACCAGCTCCTCAGCTGGGGCCTGCACTCTGGGATGCGGACTCTTACTTACCTCATCCATTCCCGGTCCTGTTTCTTCAGCTTTCCCTCCATCTTCCTCATCTTCCTCATCTTCTTCCTCATCGTCTCCCCAAAGCCTCTCATCTAGTTTGTCCGCTTCCTCTCCATTGAGATTGCCCATCTGTTTATCCAGGTCTCCATCTTCACTATCAGATTTCTCATCATCCTCTTCTGAAAGGGAACATGCTAAGCTGAGTTAGGTAGACCCCTCAACCAATCCAGGTCTGCATGTGGAAAAGGCAAAGACACCTCCTGGCCAAAGTGTCATTAGGGTCTACAGAACACTATGGGAAGATGCCAAGTATTTCTACCATGTTTTGCAAATCATTTGGAAAAGGACTTTCATGTGTGAGTAAACAGTGGGAAGAACTGTTGGGATGCCTGGTTTTGATGCTGGGGAGGACATTTTACAGGATCTAGTGGCCACACTTAGGTTTAGTTACAATTTGTATCTATGAAGTGATAGACAAGTTCTAGTCCCTGATCTTTTCTTTGAACCCTTTCTATTCAAATACTTCACTATGCATGCGATGTAGATCAACTACTGAGAACCTCTTGCCTTCATCTTTGCTCATCCTGCCTCCTTTGCTGATGGGTATGGGTATATTCTTAGGCATCACTGGCAATCATTCTGCATTTCCTTGACTGTAAATTACCATTCATTTCTGTAAAACCTTTGCTTAGAATAAGACACTGTAGTTCATGTTACAAGTTTCTGCTTTTGCCAGTAATTAGAGTAAGTACTGGATTACGGCCAAAGAACAGCAATTGATGATGTGTTATAAGAATTATATTGTCATGTTATAATGCTAAGAGGAATACTAATAAGATGTTAACAAAACAAAAGCTGATTACAGAACGCAGTATGATCTATGTGTGTGCCTATATGTCACAAATGGAAAAAACACACCAGACTTAAGTGGCTCATGTGGTGGGCTTACCAGTGTTTATTTTATTCCTTACAGTTGAGTAACAGACATCTAATATATTTTTCCGTTATTACTGTGTGTATGTGTGCACACTCATGAGTGAGGTGTGTGGAGGTCAGGAAAACCACAGCTGTCAGTCCTTGTTTGCTACTTTATGAGACAGGGTCGATTTTTCTGCTGAATAAGGCTAGTTTGCCTGCCAGGTTCTAAAATTTTCCTGTCACTGTCTCCCATCTGCCCCTAGGAGTGCTGGTATTACAGATGCCCATGCTGGGTTCTGGGTCTCAACCCTGGTCCTCATGCTTCTAAGGCAAGTGCTTTTACTCACCGAGCCATTTCCCTTAGCTCCCTAATATTTTCATAATTAAGGACAGTCACTAAAAAATTAACCAACAGCAAAAGACTCCTTCAAATAAATTCAGAGCCAATCTGTCACAGTTCATCTTGCTATTCTGGATTTCTCTGCAGACCACTGAGCCACTTCATCCAACAAAATCAAGGTTGTCGCTCACTCAAAGGAGAACCTCCAAACTTGTAAATTTCTGCCTTAGGGGAGAGAGTCATGGCATCTACAGGTGCTAATGTGATCTGCAGTTAACCTGAGCAACCAGCTTGTTGCAAAAAAAAACAAAAAACAAAAAAAAAACCAATAGCCTCCTTATTGTGAGATGCTACAAGTTTCTGTAGAAAATATTTCGTATCCAAAAAGCAGAAAATGACACATCTCAGACCTTCTTCAAGCTCGCCATCATGCATTTTCCCATCGAAGTCTTCTGACATCTCAATGGCATTGTCCTCGCCTTTAGTATCAGGCTTTGAGTTAAGGTCCTCCTTGTCCTCTTGACCCTTCTGAAATGTATCTTCTACCTTTAGGAAAAAGCGTAAGAGCACTGGTGAATGCTGTGCTTCCTGGACACTTCAATCAAGACTGTAAGTGCCCAGGTTAACAGTGTGAAAACTCTCTGCAGCAGGACAGAAAAAATACCTGATCAAGACAGTCACATGTAGTAATGTATGAAGGCTTGCTTTACATTTCCAGAGTAAATCTTTATTTTATTGCTTTTCTGATCAGAGAATACAGAATTTTATTTGGGCTTTCTTTGTGAGAATTGTAAAAACAGTATCATCACCCCCCCCCCCACACACACACACACAAAAAAAAAACCCAAAACCACAGTAACGATAACAAACATAAAACCCCCAAATCAGTATTCCAGAGACATTTTTAAGGAATATGAATTCTTCCCAGGAGTGGTTAAGTCTCGAATCACAGCACTCTCCAAAGCAGAGTTACAGGGGGATCTCTATTGAGTTTGAGGCTGGCCTAGTCTATATAGCAAGAGTTCTAGCCCAGTCAAGTCTACATTCAGAGACTTTGTTTCAATAAGAAACAAAAAGAAAAAAATCCAGCGGTGTAGTAGTATGCACCTGCTATCACAGAACTTGGGAGGATCAAGTCGGAGGTTAGCCTGGACTACCTAATAACATGGAGACTCAGCACACCCCCACATACCAGTCTTATTATCCGAATCTTTTCTCTCTGTTGTTGCCATTTTGATCTTTAAAACAAGAGCGCACAAGGGTGCACTTGGGGATAGAGAGAGGGCTCATCAGGTAAGAGAACTGGCTGCTTCTCCAGGACTTGGGTTTGATTCCCAGCTCCCATGTGGCAGCTCACAACTGCCCCGTAACTTGAATTCCCGGGTATTCAATGCCCTGTTTTGGCCCCCAAGGGCACTGTGTGCACAGACATACGTGAGGCAAAACCTCCTTATACACGAAGAAAAAAATGTCTTAAAATATTTATGTAAATTGAAATTTAACAATTTTTAGTAACATTTTATCCTACTTAATGTTTGCAATGGATTGTACTTTATTAGTTTCCCATCATTTTAAATCTTAAATTTATTTTCATTTAGAGAAGTACTATGTGATTGAATTATATTAGAGAAACACAGAAAATTGAAAAAACAATAAAAAGTAGAATGCCATCACATAAACACCAGTCTAAGTTTATTTTTAAAATTTCTTTTCAGTTTTCTCTGCCAAGAAAAATAATTTGTATTAACTTAAAAAAAAAAAAGTTGCCAGGCAGTGGTAGCACATGCCCTTAATCCCATCACTTGGGAGGCCGAGGCTGGCGGATTTCTGAGTTCCAGACCAATTAAGGCTACACAGCAAGACCCTGCCTCAATATAGCTGTAATTTTATCTTAGATACAAATTTATGGTTTGATTGAGATTAGAATAGTGGCAAAAAACAAAACAAAATTTTATATGCTTTTATTTTATATGCTTTCAAGTCCACTAGGCAGGATAAACATATACACATTTATGTTCTCCCAAACGAGATATATTACAGAGCATTGCAACACAGTCTAAGAATATGAACATTCAAAAACCCCACAAAGTTTACAATTTCAACAAGGTTTTGTAATATATATATATATATATATATATATATATATATATATATTTTTTTTTTTTTTTAAGACAGGATCTCATAGTCTAGTGTGGCCTGAAACACACTATAGGGCAAGGGTGAACCTTGAACTCTTGACCCTCCTGCTTCCACCTCACAAATGCTAGGCATATGCCATCACACCTGCTTTTCAATGTAAAAGACAAAATATATTATTGGCCAACACTGCCAATACTGTTTAATTTAATCATCACTTGTAATAACCGAATCTTTTTAATCTTAAAATTACTACTACCAGGACTGGTGGGATTTGACTCCCAGGACCCACATGGTAGAGAGAACCAAATTTACAACTTGTCCCCTGACCTCTTAAATGTGTATGCCTCACCCCACCCCTTCAAAAAATAAATAAAATGTAATTTAAAAATTAAACAAAACAAAACCAATTACCCCCAAACCCCAAAATACTCTGCAGAATTATCAGCAAATCCACATTTAAAAACAAACTGTAAAGGTCATTCCTTCCAAAACTATAATCATAACCAGGGGCTGAGTTGCAAAGGTCCTTTGGCTTTTAGGTTTTTATTTAAAGACTCACTCAAGTTTGAGTACCTCTAGGACCACAGATCAGTCTGAGGCTACTGGCCTAGTAACAAGTTTACTAGACACTGAAGAGGAGAGTCAGCTCATACAAGCAGTGTGAACCTACCTGTTCCTCATTTTCTATCCGGTCACTCACATCCTTCATGCCCTCGCCATCTCCGATCCCACCTCCCTCGTAGTCATGGAACTGTGTTGCTCCCTCTCCTGCTGCATCTTCCATCAACTCTTTAGGTAAGCAAAACCCCTGGAGGGGAAAAGATTCAGCAAATGCTGTTGTAATCATGCTGGAAATGTAGTAGATTTTTGACATTCTTTTCCCTCTTGGAACTGTCGTGCAGTTTCACAGCTTGACATTGTAAGAGTTTAGCTTTGTAGAGGTCTCTAGCACACAGTAATGTTAAGTTACCAAGACAAAAACATGAATGAAATGTATCAGGATATTTAGGGTGGTTCCTTAGGAGCAAGCCACTGAACCAGAGCAGATAGGAGAGGAGACAGGCTCCGTTAAGAGTAAGTAACAAAACTGACTGATTTGGAAAGAAGCCTGGAAAGAAAGTACTAAAAGCAATGGCTGTAATCAGGAATTTTATGTAACAGAAAACACGATATTGGTCAATCCAAGGATGCAAATGCACTAAAAAAATAAGCTGCCAGTCATCAGAGATCAAAGATGAACAACACCAACTTTGCTATAATGAAGCAGCTTTCTGTGGACTCAAATGTTTTAATCACAACCTACATCTATCACTGAAGCCCTGTGCCTTATCTACATTAAAGTTCAGCATCACTCAGAAAGGCTGTATGATTTGGACACTTAAGCACACTCAATTTCAAGGTGTGTACATTTTCAGAAAGCTGTCTGAAAATGGTCAAGTATTTTCCTACTGAACTACATTACCATTATATATATAGTAATATATATATAATATATATATGACATAAGGTCTTAAAACTTGCAAATCCCCCTTGTCCAAAGGGGTTATCTAAAGACTGCTGCCTTCTCATACGTCAGCCTTACCTCCCTGTCAATTTGAAGTCTGCAGATATCTCTTGAGCTAGACTTACAAGATACAAATATAATATTATATACATGACATATGTCACATATATATGACATATATATGACATATTCATAGGATTTCTCTGTGTAGCCCTGGCTGGCCTCAAACCCAGAGGTCTGCCTTCCTCTGCTCCTGAGTGCTGAGATTGAAGGTGTGCACTACCACTGCTTGCTTTATATTTTCTAACACTCATTTACTTCCCTGTGTGTGGAAAGAAGTTGTGTACATCCACGATGCACATGTGGAGGTTAAACTTGCAGGAAATGGTCTCCCTTTCTACCACATGGGTTTCAGGAATTGAAGTTAGGTTGTTAGGCTTGGTGGCAAGTCCCCTCACTGGCTGAACCATCTCACCTGCTTCTGAGCTAAATTATTTTAAGAGAGGTGTGTTCAGACATAGGCTGATGATGAGTCCACACAGTATCTGAAGGAGATTCATACTCTTGGCAGAGCACACTACTACAGTAGCTCTGGTCTGGACAGCCACCAGGCTGTGCTGCTATGGAGCTCAGGCCGAGGCCTGGAGCACACAGACAGAGACAGACATCAAGGCATCTTCTACAGTGCAAATTATCCTTCCATTCTCTTTTGTATAGTTTTCTTCAAGAGGTAATGAGAAAGAAGACAGATGGGCAAACATGAAGACCCATAACTCAATATACACATATTCCTTTGGATATGAGGCCTCAGGATGACTTCCCACTTTTTAACTCCAGGATTTTAGAGAATAAAAATTTTTAAGTGTTTAGATGCCTAGACACCTATTCTATTTGTAATCTCCTACCTCATTTATATTGTATTTAGCTGAAGAAAACTCAGGATACTTAGGAAGAAATCAAAGAAAACTTAAAACTTAAAAGTCATTTGAAGATGGTGCTCACAAAAATACAAATAACAGTAGACAGATCTACTTGGGAAAGTATCCAACCTAAGTCCAAGAACTGTATTTCTACATATTACCACATCTTCTGGATTTCACTGCCTGCGAATCAAGGGCAGGTCTACAATCTCTACAATTATGCTGCTTTTCACCTTAATGAAAGAACAACTTTCTCTTCTTTAACACCAAGAGCCCCCTTTATCATTTAATCATAATCAAACAGCCTTAAGGATCTATCTTGCTCAAGAGATAATTGAAGACGTCAAATCAACAGGGAGGGAAGGCTGACCTAAGAGAAGGCAGCAGCCTTTAGATAGCCCCTTTGGTCAAGTTTTAAGACCTTAGTGGAAACCTGCTTAGCAATCAGTTTTCATACAAAGCCCTGAACCTCAAAGAGATAGACCGCCTCCTGGTATTTCTGACAGCCCACCATAAATGCCCAGCAAGCCCTGCAAAGACTTAAAATACCTGTATGTTCCATGGCATTCCACACTGACAGTCCTTACCTTCTGGGCGAGCTCTGTGAAGGTCTGGGCAAGCACAGAGAGCAGCTTGGCAGTGCTCCGGTGAGTTGCCAGAGACAGGGCCAGGAAGAAGAGGATAAGGTCTGAGAAGCTGCAGAGCATGGGGACCAGGCGCACTAGCAAGCAGCAGGACTGGCTGAAGACCTGAGACAAACAAATGCCCAGTTACACTGGTGAAGAGACATCCCCTCTGGAGATATTCTACAACTAGATAGCATGCCACACGACTCAGGAAGGTGCTCCAAGTCGTTCATGTAAGCTGCATGTGTTTTAACCTCATCTCCTAGCTCAGAGACCTTTTCCTTACATATATTCATAAACATTCACTGTATATTCCCAGCCAATCATTTAGGTAGTTAACAGCATCAGTATCATCATTACTACTACTATTGCTACTACTATTATTGTTTTTGAGATAGGATCTTACCTGTAGCCTAGGCTGTCCTAGAACATACCAAGTAGCCCTGGCTGGCCTTAGATTCATGGTGATTCTCTTGCTTCAGCCTCCCAAGTGCTGGGATTACAAGTCTGAGCCATGGAACACAGCATATAGCACTGTTATTACTGCCTCCTAACATGGGTGCTGGGAATCAAACCCAGGTCCTCTGACAGAGCTGTACACATTCTTAACCACCTAGCCTCTCTTCAGCCCAGCACTTTATTTTTTTAAAAGAAGGACTTGTCAATGAATTTCACTAGTAGACCAGAGTTGGCACTCATGTAATGAAACACAGCAACAACGTCCTACAAAATAAGCTGCTTCTTACCGATGATACAGCATGGGATGGGGATGGGACACAGGGGTATTCTGGATGGCAGCAGTTTTGCACCTATCAGCTTATCAATGACCAAGTCCTCAGTGAGCTGGGCACCAGGGTCTGCTCAGGACCCTCCCCGTGGGTGAGGAAGGCCACTCTCCTCATCTACTCTGAGGAGCACTGGTCTGCTCTGAACAGTGGGTACCTTGTGCTTGGTCGTGCTGCTATCCTCACTGCAGGACTTTAGCCTCTCCAGCAGCTCCGAGACAGAAGAAATGATTTTCTGGACATGTAAAGTGCTCACACTGGCCCAGAAGTCGTCCTCTAAGAGTTTGGTTAGATGTCCTGGCTGCAGTCTCTCAAAGCCTGCCTCTTCTTTCATTTCTAATAACACAAGAAGCAAAACAAACCATTTCAAATCTCTACGCACGAAGGCTATGTCTAATATCTGTCTTTAGTTAGCTCAAGTAACAAAGCATTAATGAAATGAATCGGATTAATCTGAAGTTAATTTTCGCACAACTTCAGCCATACCATCCTCTCCTTGTGGTCTCTTTTCAGCGGGGCTGTCTTCAGCTTTCTTATTGTTTCTTTCTGCTAAGTTCTGGATGGTGCAGAGGATGGCCCGGATGGCAGTTTCTATTTGCTCTGAAAAGTCTTCAACAAAGCTTTCCTCCAACATCTGGTTTCCTAGTAAGCAACATGGTATAGGGCAAAGCTGAATCTCGAGTAATACTCACTGTTAAATGGCTGAGTAAAGTACTCTATTATTTGCTAGTCCCTATGAGAAGCTGTGATGGATCCAAGGATAAAAGGGCAGATTCCTTGCCTGTTAAACTATGAAGCCCATCATTTCATATCAATGTTACAAAAAGAATACAAAAAAAGGAGGAGGAAGAGGAGGAGGAACAATAGTTATGTGGCGTGTACAAACTCTGAGTTTATCTTACATATTGGCCTCAGGCATTTCGGCCTAAGGGAAGCTGTAACAGCCTGTGCTCCTCTTGGGCACAAACCTAACAGGACAGGACATGTCATCACCTCACTTCTAAGTTCTCACCTCCTTGCCTGTGTGAAATGAAGAGACGTGCTTTCCAGGCAGTGAAGTCATGAATGGCTTTACTAACTTCTCCTCTTAGATATTCCAGGCTTTCAACTAATGCCATTCGTGCATCTGTTTGCTCAGCCTCTATCTCTGGAAGAATGAACAAGGACTCTAGGCCTTGCAAATGAGCTGACACTTGGGACAGGCAATTCAGCCCAGAAGAACAAACTTCAAAATCTTCCCTGCAACAGAAATATCACATGTTGAAAGGAAGGGGCTACAGCCAACACCTCTTCCCCTCTCCCTCTAACCACAGCAAACAGGCTGTACCTCCAAGTTTACAGTCCGATGGCACCAAGTGCCGTGTATGTTTGCTGAGTAACAGGACTCAAGCACAATTCTTTTCATGTTTTAGCCCAAGGCTGAAGTCTCATAAGCAAGACAGACACACTTACCATGTATGAAAGAGGGTCTCACAAGACTGCTGTCTAATTTTGTCAACACCAGCTTTCACAGTTTTAATGGTTTTCAGCAGCTCTGTCAACCCTGCAGTTGACTGCTGCCAAAGTCGATCTTGTCTCCGCATTTGGCAACCAGATGGCAGCTGACTTCTAGGTACTGGGGATGGGTAGCTCAGATCAGAGGGAAGTAAGTCTGGCATTGCCCCCGATACTGGCCCCCTGGTATCTGTTCTTCCCAGGTGGGGTGCAGAAGGCTGCTCCTGCACTGGAGCATCACTGCGGCCTCCAGTCGGCCCTGCACTGGGGCAGCACTGGAGGAGCCAGGAGAGCTGCTCCAGCAGGATCTGGCTCTGCATGGCCAGGTGCTGCAGTCGTTCTGTCCACTGCTGCACACTGTCCTGAGGTGGGAAGGCCACAGGATAGACGGGAGGCCCAGTCAGCCTGCTGTCAATCTCCTGGACACAGCCGAGGAGGTTCCTGTGCAGAAGAATGTGGGGAAAGGACAATGGCATCTTCAGGTTGTTTGTGAAGAGTAAACATGTCTGTACACTTCTGAACAAATATGGCTTTTTCATGTAATTTCGAAGGGCTAGGGATAGAGCTCAGTGGGAGAAGACCAGTTCACCAGCAGGGGGCCAGGACTACATTTACACAGACAGACAGACAGACAGACAGACACACACACACACACACACACACACACACACACACACACACACGCACACACACACGGGGTAGGGGTGAGGGTCATCTGGGTATGGGAAAACAGATGAAAAGTCTATTAAAATGCCTCCCCAAATTAAACACATTCTTCAGTCTTTCAGGAATGCCATCAAAACTCATACCATTACCAGCTGAACCTTATCTGCCAGCCAGCTAACAGTCACAGCACTGCTGTGATTTCAACTCTTACTACCTTGCAAATGTACTCTGTTTTGCTAAATAAGCCCCAATGAACTGAGGAAAAAACAGAAGCTAAACTGAATACAGTTTAGAAATACTGTCTCTCAGCCAAGAATCAACTCAACAGGCTGACAGCTTTCCTAATGTCCTCATCTTTTAATTTCTGTTTCTATTTGGGGAACAAACTGCCACCTGGGGAAATCTAAAAGCCTGACAGAGGCAGACTTATCCCCAGTCGCAAAGATCAGGAAGCCCCACGACTAAGAACACAACCCTGACTTTCAGCTTATCACAGTGAAGGGCCTCATTCCAGAGCCAGCTCACAAAACTCTTCTTACTGTTTGCCTAGGCCCTGCCCTCACTCCACAGACCACTTTTCTCCAGACCATGGATAGTGCCATGGCCTGGCATCAAATGAAGCAGTAGGACCAAAAGAAACTACCTACCTCTTTGAGCAGGCTCAAACCCACTTCAGAGAGTGGAGGGTGTTCCTCTCGGCTGATCTACACAGATCCTAATTTGTGGCAACCCTTCCCGCCAGAACATACCTGAGGATGATCCACTGCTCAGTCAGTGTGGTCAGGGAACGGCGCTGTCGGATGAGCAGCTTCATCAAGTGTGCTGAGAACCCTTTACACCTGTCAACATTACCCATGCCAATCTCCTGGCCGAGGAAGAGAAAAAGCATGCTGAAGGCATTGCTGATAATCCCTGCCCTCCCCACACATGCACCAAACTATTTCTTCCTCAAAAAACAAAACAACAACAACAAAAACAATTATGAGTTTAATTGTTTTGTCTGCATATATGTATGTACACCATGTATATGTCTGGAGGTCAAAAGAGGACTTCTGATACCCTAGAACTGGAGCTATAGACAGTAATGAGGCACTAAGTGAGGTCTGGGTACTGAATCTGGGTCTTTTGCTCCTAACCACTGAGCCATCTTTCAAGCCCCCGAAGCTATTCCTCGAAACTTAGGTGAACTTATGCACATTCAGGGGGTGTGAGCAGCAGTACATCCTGTCTTCCAGCAGTCTTTCAGACTAGTTTCTAGAGATCACTGACATCAGGGGAGGAATGAGGTGTAACACCAACTATGGACAGACGTGGTCTGTTCTCAACTTACAAGAGTAAAGCTGGTCCTCTTGGCAAATGCAGTGGTGCTTACTCTAAGCTGTTCTAGGGTCTACACTATTGCACTGATTTAAAGTTAACAAGCTTGTTATTGCCTGATAAGGATGGTGACGTGATGAACCCAGCAGATGCTTTCCCCAGCCCACGTCAGTCTACCTTGACAGGAGTCGCTAGGGCTGCAGTAAGCCTGGTGTGCCGTGCAAGGGAGCGATAAAAATACTTCTGGCACCCATCCCACAAAGACGAAATTTCTGTGAGGAGCCTAGAAAAGAAATCAAGCAACTTACTGTATTAAAACCACAACAACTGCCCTCTCTGTCCTCTCTACCCTGGAGCAGCGCCCCTCCCCGCCCCCGAAAATGTATGCCTGCTCCATGGTCGTCTCCACCCGCTCCCTGATCAGGAGCCTCTCAGCTGCTGAGTCGCCCGCTGTCTGCAGTGCAGCTGAACCGACCACAGACATGGACAGACGTGGACAGACCAGGGCCCCAGCGGTTTGTCAGTCCCTCGTCCTCTGACCTCAGTCATCCCTAGCCGCAGCTTCCAAACCAGCGTCATTTCCAGGGACATTGACACAGCCGCCAAGTTCACTGGGGCTGGGGCCGCCACAGTTGGGCTGGCTGGCTCTGGGGCTGGGACTGGGACTCTTTTGGGAGCCTTATTATTGGTTATGCCAGGAACCCTTCTCTGAAGCAACAGCTCTTCTCCTACTCAATTCTGGGCTTTGCCCTCTCAGAAGCCATGGGGCTCTTCTGCCTAATGGTGGCCTTTTTCATCCTCTTCGCCACATGAAGCAGCTGTCTCCACTTCCACCTCCCATAGTTCTTTCATGTCCCGTCTACCCCGTGTGTTCCTTTTCCTGTACCTCCCCAGGAAGTCTGGGGAAAGTATTTGGCTCAGGGTTTGACAGAGAGAAAATAAACAAACAAACAAACAAACAAACAAATAAATGAAGCCACTCCCCAGGAAGTCTGGGGAAAGTGCTTGGCTCAGGGTTTGACAGAAGACAAATAAATAAATAAATAAATAAATAAATAAATAAATAAATAAATAAATAAATAAATAAATAAATAAATAAATAAATAAATAAAGCCACAACAACTATGCACTGAAGATCCCAAATAAATAAATAAATAAATAAATAAATAAATAAAGCCACAACTGTGCACTGAAGATCCCAAGGACTCAAGACTTCTGAGTACATTTAGGCGTAACCCAGAGTCACCAGTTGAAATCGATGTGTCTATGAGGAGGACACTTAGACTGGAAGCGTTACCAGCAAACAAGAAACAGCAATGGTCTGTTTTCTCTGCTGAAACCTTCACCAACTAACTTGATGATGGAAAGTATGCCTTATAAACCCCGATGTCAACAGGGGCTAATCAGGTAACAAAGAACCAGGGACAGACATACACAAAATGCTAGGCAGGGTTAACAGCTAACATGACCACACAGGTGCTAGAGAATAAAACAAACTGGAAACACGTGTCCTGTTAAATGGAGAGGGACAACTCAGTCACAGCTACATGGGGACCAATTAAGAATGCAAGTCCATTTGGCAAGCTATCCTGAAAAACTGGAACTCTAGAAAGCTGGTCTACAACTTCCCCCTTTACAATGCTGTTCTGACTCAAATTTAAAGTCCCACAAAGACACTCAGCACTAAAACACATGCAGATCACTTAGGGACCTCTGGGTAGATGAAAACATGAGCAGCTTTTTCTCAAGGTAATCGGTTCTCAAACTGAGTATTTTAAAACTCACACACACACGAGAGACAGCAAAACTATGGCCACATTCCCAGCTGTCAATCAGGTCAAGTAAGCAGGCCTCAGGGAAGCAAAGGAGCAGAGCGAGAGGATGCAGGGTGAGGCTGCAGGTCAGCAGTGAAGGACACAGCACACACACCAACAGCACAGGGTGGCACACACAAGGAAAGGCAGAAGAAAATGAACACTTCGTGGAGAGGTGCAGGTCCTTTTGTGACCTTTAACTCTCTTGGAAGCTGAGTGACTTCCTCAATGTACAATTTAAAAACCAACCAACCTGGCATCGGCCTCCCGAGTGCTGCTGACGATAGACAATGCGCTCTGGAGATCTAATGGGTGAAGGTGAAGCAACTCTTGAGGACTTTTTGAACGGGCCCAGGCAAGACCTTTACGATACGACAGACCTAAGAAATCAACAGCACTCATTAATGCACAGTAACTCAGTGAGAAAAGGCTAACGCCCTTGTCCTCTAACGCCCCCTCTTATCTCATCAAAGTGAAGTCTGTGACATGTATCACCAGCAACCTGTCAGAAACATGACTTCAGGTAGCCAGGGGTGATAGCCCAAGCCTATAATCTCAGCCCATAGGAGGGCTAAGGAAGAAAGATCATGAATGAGTGTGAGGCCAGCTTGGACTACGAAGCAGTAAAGAAATGCACCAACTAAAACAGGATCAATCCTTGCATTTTAACACGATTCCCTAAGTGACTGTTCTCTACCTATGATAGGAGAGTATAGAATATTGCTGAAAGCGGAGTATCAGTTCGGAGATACCTCACCACAAAACTTGAAAATGTGTGGGAACCAGCAGTTCACTGTAGCATCTTCCTTTGTATGTCTGGAACTCTTAGAACGACATTCCACAACTTTGTCTAGTATTTTGTTGTATATGGTTTTAGGAATTTCCCCCCATGTCACCGATACCCCAAGGCTGATTACAGGGGCGGCTGGTTAAGAGTGCTTGCTGCTCTTCTCGATGATCCTCAGTTCAGTTCCTAACACCTGTACTAAGTAGCTCACAACTGTCTGTAATTCTAACTCTAGGGGAAGAGATTCTCTCTTCTGCTCTCCATGAGCAGCCTCACACATCACATGTGTACATACTAAAACTTTAAAATAAAGGTAAAAGTTGGTAATTATTTTCTAGTATTTCAGAAGCTACCCTTACCAATTTTTGCAAGGTGTTTAAAGAGATCCGACAAAGCTCGGTGCTTCTGCATGAGAATGTGCTTGGCTTCTGATTGCTGCTTCTCTTTCTCAGCAGAGGGATTCACATTTAAGTTCTGCAACTCACTTACAGAGGAAATCACTTCACCTGTAGGGAAACATAAGATCCCAAGGCCTTGTTAATGTGTGCAGTTTGCTGTATGTTTAGGACTTCCTGTGTGGCATGGGGGCCGTAAGTACCGTTCATCTTTCACCTGCACTTTTAACCGTCCATAGCAGCTGGCAAATGGTCAATGAACTGTTTGAACTACACTTGCAAAGATGCACGGAAATGGGAAAATAAAGTAACTCTTAGCTTTGTTATCTCTTTAAAATAAACCAAACCAAACCAAGGAAAACCTATGTATTTAGTAGCAACAGAGTAGTCTATTATACCATGAATTTTAATCACCCAAGGGGAATATCTGATAATTGTATTTCATTCCTTCCCTATAGCTAATATAAATTAAATGCCTTTTTAATCTATACAACTTCATAAGCACTTATCTATACCGCTAATTCATTTATTTATTTAGGTTTTGGTTTTTTTTTTTTTTGAGACAGGGTTTCTTTCTCCATGTAACAGTCCTGGCTGTCCTGGAACTCACTTGGTAGCCCAGGCTGGCCTCTAACTCATAGAGATCCATATGCCTCTGCCTCCTGAGTGATGGGACTAAAGGTGTGCGTCACCCCTCCAGGCTAAACTGTTTTTTTTAATGCTTTATTTTTACTTTCTGTGCATCGGTGTATTGCCTGCATGTATGTCTGTGAGGGTGTCAGATTCCCTGGAACTGGAATTACAGACAGTTGTGAGCTGCCACATGGGTGCTGGGAATTGAACATGAGTCCTCTGGAAGAGCCATCAATGTTCTGAACTGCTGAGCCATCTCTCCAGTCCTGTCTTTAAAAGCCCCCCTTTTTTTCCTTTTGGTGAGACAGAGTCTCACTATGTAGCTGCCCTTGAACTCAAATATCCACCTGGGTCTGATTCTTGAATGTGCCTCATCACACCTGGCTTCCACTTGACTAATTTTTGTTTTTAAAAGATTTATTGACGGGTGGTGATGGGGAACAACTTTAATCCCAGTACTCTGTAGGTTGAGGCAGGAGGCTCTCTGAGTTTGAGGCCAGCCTGGTCTACAGAGTGAGTTCCAGAACAGCCAGGGCTACACAGAGAAACCCTGTCTCAGAGGAAAAAACAAAAAGATTTATCTTTTTAATTTTATGTGTGTTAAATGTTTGCCTGCACATATGTCTATGAACCACTTGTGTCTGGTGCCTGGAGGCCAGAGACAGGTGTTGGATCCTCTAAGACTGCCATGTCACTAGCATCCTCGAGTTTGAGACCCACCTGGACAATACAGAAAGACACACCACCCAACCAAGATCAAGGCAGCCTACAATTCCTGGTCTACATGTGAGGACAGAGGGATTAAAGGTCCTCTAGATGATTAGCAGGCCTCAGCCTTTGGACTTGGATTTTTAGCACATTTGTTTAAAAAATGAGCAAGATGTCAAAAAAAATGACACAGGCCCCACATTCCAGCCATCAGAACAAGTCTCCCTTTGCCCTGGCTGTTGACACTCACCAGTGAACTGGTCAAGGCTTTCCACCAGGTTAGGTAGGGGGCTCTCCTTCATAAACCTCAGGCACATTTTCCTCATCCGCTTTGAGAGTCTTGGCAAGCGACGCAGAAGCTCTCCTTCCACAGACAGAGGACCAGCATCCTGACATTGATCTGGAACTGAAGCCTTGGAGACAGTACAGGGTAGTGTCACTACCAAGAACCAGAGTAACATGTGTTCCCTTCTCCCCGCTTTTTTTTTTTTCCCCCGAAGACATGGTATTTCTGTGTAGCCCTGGCTGTCCTGGAGCTCACTCTGTAGTCCAGGCTGGCTTCAAACTCATAGAGATCCGACTGGCTCTGCCTCCCAAGTGCTGGGTTTAAAGGCATGCACCACCACCACCACCACCACCACCACCACCACCACCACCACCACCACCACCACCACCACCACCCGGCCAGAAAAAATTTTAACTTGATGGGCACTAAATTTATAGAATCAACTTCTCCCCCCATCTTCCTGCTTCCTCACTCAGCAAATACAAAATCATCATCTCAGGAATAGATATAAGCACATATAGATGAATGTTTAGAAACCTGAATGACTCTTTTGTATGTGACTGAACTAGCAAGTCAGGAGCTTTGAACCTATCAACATAGGATGAACAGTAAGACTACAGTCACCATGGTACTAAACCAAGGCAAATGGGCTCGGCAAATCCCACTTGTACTACTGTTTATCCCTGTCCTCCTTGTCCCAAGGACAGTTCACAGGTCTTGAGGTCCAGTATAAATTAAAGGAAGAACTTCATCCACTGGGGCACTTTTTCTTCACCAGCACCCCCAAGCCTGAAATTCCTGTGCTGTCATCATCAGCAAATCAGGCATTTTGATCAGCGTGACAGCAGTGACTTGACAAATAGTCCACTGAAATTTGCCAGCATATGGAGCTACCAGCGGTTGGTACTAGGCTTTTTGAAATTCTAAAAAAGCTCAGAGACCTAATTACTGACTCTATGAACCTCAGGATGGGAAGTCCAGTAAGATTCAAAACGAGTATTCTCTGGAGGAATGCTCTTGATACCCTAAAATAAAAGGCAGGAGCAGCCACCTGTCAGCATCCACTCCAGAGCTCTGTCCCTTCCATTTTCAGGAATTATACACAGCATCTCAAACATGGTGCTGGAGAGGAACCACAAGCAAGCATCTACACTCTGACCTGAGCAGGCACTGAGTAGCACTGCCCTGGGCACACACAGCAGCTTCCTCATCCAGCTGTTCAGCTGCACTAGCACATTCTATTGTCTGTGGACACGTGTATAGATGTGATCAGGTCACAGGAAACTTCTGGCCTTCTAACCTTTTTTTTTTTTTTTTTTTTTTATTTTTCGAGACAGGGTTTTTCTGTGTAGCTTTGCGCCTTTCCTGGATCTCACTTTGGCCAGGCTGGCCTCGAACTCACAGAGATCCGCCTGGCTCTGCCTCCCAAGTGCTGGGATTAAAGGTGTGCGTCACCGCCGCCCGGCTCCTTCTAACCTTTACGTGGGTTCCAGAGAGCAAACTCAGGTCATCAGGATTATAGAGCAATCAGTTTACCTGCTGAGCCAACTGACTGGCCCGAGATCATAGTTTCTGCCTAATTCTGTAGCATAGCCAGGCAAACAATCAAATGCTATACAGATCCAAAGAAGAAAATCCCAAAGGCATTCCTTGTCTAGTTCCCAGTTCATCCCTTAACCTGAAAAATCCTGCTTAACTGCCTTGGGATTAAACATGCAGCATGCCACAAGCTAGTACCTGCCATGCTGTTGGCTGGGCTAACAGGGTCTCCCTCAGTGCCCTGTTCAGACACTGAATGGGTGATGCCACCACTGCAGCTTCCTCTGTTGGCTTTGGCAAACAGTCAGGGTGTTCTTCCTTGTTGCTCTCTACCAGACATGACTGACAGGGTTCATTCAGGACAGCTTCAAATTTCTTCATGAATTTAAAGAGGGTCCTGGTCTCATGTAGTAACAGATATAAGGTTAAAAACAAAAACACATCATTTTAAGAGAATTTGAAAGCAAAGAATTATAATGTGTTTGCGCATGCACACACAATAGCTTTTATCTTTTATAGCTATGCTAATCTCCTTAGGTATTCATAATCATTTTGGACTTTTAGGGAAAAAATATGCCAAATACTGTCACCCCACCTTTTCTACAAGAGGACACTGAAGCCAGTCACACTGAGGTTGCTTTGCTCAAGAGAAAGAGCTGGTGGGCGGCACAAGACCAGCCCACTGGGCACATAGCCTGCTCTACCCAAGGAATACATTCTTCTTGCAAGTAGATTTTGTTTGTGGTGGCCTGAGGGTAGTACAGGTCAGGCTAAGAAAACACTGTAGTCTTGCGGCCTTCACATACAGAATTGTGGTTTTGAAAGGTTACGCCCGGTTTTAAAAGATAGATTACCTATGTGTCTTTTCCACAGATTGTTTAATAGACCAGAAGCTGACATCATTCCACTTTGATATCTTCACAAATTCCTGAAAGACAGAGGAAGTTCAGGAAATGGCTTTATAAAGCTTGTATCCCCCTTTCTCCCTACATTATCTACTTGTCAAAGGTCAGAGGCCATCCCATCCGAAACACAGGACTGTATATCAGGGAATATGTAGAAGACTAAAGGGGAACCACGTATTTGCTTCAAATCAATCAACAAATGATGGTCAGTGGTGATGCTCCCACCGGTGACTTATTTGACAGGCACTCCAGCTTAAAGTCACCACAGTAGTCAAGTTACCCCCATCAGTGCTGGCTCCTCAGCCCTGCTCTCTCTCACTGAAGTAAACACAGTTTACTTCTCCTTGCCCCAAGGCACTTGGTGGCCCACATCCCATGTAATATGGCACACTCCTGAGGGAGACAAAAAGCATGGGAAAGACCAGCAGAGCAGACTTTCCTGTGCTGGTTCCCCAATAAACTTCTACAGCCTCCTCTCCTTGTCTCCTGCCTCACGCTTACAAGGATCAGAGAACAGAACTCAAGAAAAGGGATGGGCTGATTCTGTTCTTTCAAGGGTGATTATGACAGCTACTCATCTTACTTTAAGTTCTTTTTCTATGGGGGAGCGAAGTTCCACAATTTTAGCTTGGACCGGGTCAAGAAATTGCTTGTAAAAATGGTACAAATTCCACAGAACACTGCCAAGTGAATCTGGAAGAAATGAAAAGGGAAAAAACATACTACTCACTGTAGGACTTCTGGTGCCAGCCTGCATCTTCCTCATTCCCCATGCCATAAAATTATAGCACATTCCACAGTCAGGTTTGTTAAAAACTTGTCTGAGCTTAGCACTCCTCAAAAATGCAGGTTGTCACAAGCTGCCGTATTTTCATTTCAACTTCTAACAGATTTACTGCCATTTTTTGAAGAAGATGATATACTGAGAATCTCTTTAAACCAATCCTTCAAATTCTTTTATGAGTCTAAAACTCATAAAATCAATAGGTACTATGCTTATATTAAAAATGGCATATTAAAATGTCTGCCCCAACTCTCATTCATGTCAAGCTATACTCAATTTATAGTGACAACTTAATTCCAAACCTGCTGGGGTAGTGACTGACATCAGCAGTTTTTATATGGGGCTTATTCTGCAGCAAGCTCCAGGCAAGCCACAGCTTCATGGTGAGACCATGTCTCAAAATAAACAACAGTGCATGGTAAGTGAGGAAAAAACCCTTACCTTTCCCTTCGATTTGTGGCATCAGTAAGACATGACAATGGAAAACCAGTAACATTTGGAGTCGTACATGGAATTCTCCCAGCGAAGATCCTTCAATAAATGCTTGTAATGTGCTGACCAGCAACATCAGGGTCATCTGCTTGTCATCTTTAGAGAGCCAAAGAGCAAAACACTCATGTGCCTTCAACCATCCCTCCCATCCCTAAAATGCATGCAATGCATCATCCATCAGGTAGGTACCACATCAAACTGAAGCAAAGATTATGGTTACAGTGACAGACTTCCACATAAAACCTGTATGTAAGTTATGTATTAAATGCACTCACAGCAAACTTACAACATTATTATGAAACAGCTTTAATTCAAGCATGTTAATTTCTACTTACACTGGGTTAGTTCCTGGACATACAGAATGGCATGACTTTATGATGACTGCTTCTCTAGAGCGTGCAGTCACCAGCCTTACCTTCTTGCTCCTCTGTGCGTTCCTGCATGTGCTTCTCCAGCATCTGATAGATGGAGAACCAGTGCTTGGTGGATTTCTCAGTATGGCGTCTCATGGTATTATCCAAACTCATTGACCAGCAGCTGACCAGCAAGGAGTGGAGAAAAAGGCAATAGACATTTAGGTAAATCCATTTGCGATCACAAACTCACAATTTAAATGCTCACCTTTTTTTTGAGGAGGTGGGGGGCCATCCCCACTAGGTAGCCCTGGCTAGCTTCAATCTCACAGTGATCCTCCTGCTCTGCCTCCAAAGTGCTGGAATTTAAGACTCCACAACCAGCAAATATTCACTTTTTTTGTTTGTTTGATTTTGGTCTTTTGAGACAGGGTTTCTCTGTTTAACAGCTCTAACTGTCTTGGAACTCACTTTGTAGACCAGGCTGGCCTCAAATTCACAGAGATCCACCTGCCTGCCTCTGCCTCCCGAGCGCTGGGATTAAAGGCGTGCGCCACCACCGCCTAGCTAAATATTCACCATTTTTACAAATGGTCATAGAGAAGCTGTTTAGTTTGCTGCTTCAGAATGTATGGCCTGATTAATGCTCGGCTTTAAACTCTGTGATTAAAGCACTTCTGTAACTGCCATGTTATACACATAACCCCCCTGGGGCAGGCAAGGAGAGGTCACTTACTTCAGCTCCAGTTTACGCCACCGAATGATCATCTGACTGACTAAATCAAGATGTTTCCGGAGAGACAATGCTCGACTTGCGTTCTCCTCCCAATCCTAAGCAAACAAACACCTTTTGTTGCCATTATTCAACCTCTTAGTTACTTCCTCCCCTTCAGTAACATCTTGGACTTTCCTTAAGAGAAGACTACTGGCCCCTAACAACTTTTACTAACCACAGGTACAAGTTCACATTGTGCTACAACTCTCCACTGTATCACCAACCGTCATGTGATACAACACCACAGAGCCCAAGTTAGAGGCAGACAAAAAAGCAGTCTGAGCCTGTGTCAGAATTCCTGCTGCTGGCGTTTCTCCTTGAACAAACTCATCTGACTCCTTTCTGTCACGGTGTGGAGGCTGTGTGGGGCTGTGAGAACAACCACGGGCTGTCCCAGCAGACACTCCTAGAGCCCTGGCTACCAGGCTCCACCCTCCAAACAGCTGCTCACTGGTACCAACCTCACCCCAACTCAGAAAGACCAACAATCTTCATCTTTCTCTAAACCAAATTTTACCTCTCTGTTCTAACATGAGTATCAAAAGAGAAATCTTGTCAAAATACCAAAAACTAAAACAAGGAAGAAGAAATGATCTTACTTGTGCCTTTGCCAGAAGGATCTCTAAGCCATTCAGGAGCTTTGAGATGGGACTGGAAAGTGGGAAACCACGGATTCTGTCCATTACGACCAGAAGCTTAAAAAAAGATACACAATTTGGGTAACTCAGTGGCCAACAGTGAAGAGTCCAGACAGGAAGTTTTAGTCTATGTTTCACAAATACCTATTAAAAACGTTTGTGGAAGCAAACATTCAGGGCTGTGGAACCCCACAGAAGGAAATCTTTTATAAGTTGCATTATTCTGGAAATAAGACTGATTCTGACTTTATTATTCCCCATATTACGAGTTATTATAAAACTTGCTAAAACTGGCATGTTCTTCCTGCAGGTATTTGAGGAGCATCTTAGTGGGTTAGAGGTAAGCCTTTGTTTCTATGTACAAACACGCAAGTCAACATCCCTGGAGATAGTGTGAGGCCACATCTTCCCGGTAAATCTGGGTCCTTGGGCAATCCATCCTTCCTAGCTGGCTGCACTACCTGCTGAAGTACGGGGTGCTCTGGCCACTCCTCCAGCAACTGATTGACAGCTTCTGAAAAACCTTGAAGCACAGGTTGGCACTGGCGTGCTTCTGCCACATTGGGGTGCTGGTAGAAGTCATAGGGCCCATCAGGCTTCATGATCAGGTCTGAGGTTGCCTCCCCACAGAGGGTGTTATAGGAGAGAGTGCAGGCCAAGAGTTGACTGCCCAAGAGCTGGTCATTCAGCTCAACTCCTGTGAAGTGACAAGATCGTGGAAAAGTCAGTGAACTCAATAAGCCAGTTTAATAGTAAGTCATGAACATGCCAAAACAATGAACTAATTGTGACCCAAGCCTTTTTCCAATGGAATCCACTGAAGAGACCATGTTAGAAACTTCTTGCAACCAACTGACATCAAACCAGATTCTGTGAGTCTCAGATTGTTTTAAAAATATATGAGGTTAGAGACAGGGAATGCATCTCAATGTGGGGTGCTGAGGTTGTACTCCTAGCATCATAGAAAATAAACAAAACCTCAACAACAACCCCCATGGATCTGTTAGAAAAGCATGAATGCTATGAGAGGAAAAGAGGAAATAATTCAAGGAAAAACACCACACAAATCAAGTCCATCCATATCTTTTCTCATAGGGCACTAATAAAAAATCTGTATTAGTGCAGACTTTTAAATCAATTTCTCAAATTTTTAAGCTCTGGGAACTAGGAGCAGGGGACTAAATGAAAATGGGCATTTCATTATCTTAATTGTAGCAAGATTATCTACTCATTTGATTTCCCAGGAGTATTAAGGAGAACTTCCATACCCATCAGAGGGTAGAAGTGTGTCACCAGAGATGCGCCAGTCTGATAGCAGGAGAGAAACAGGCTGAGGTAGTGCTTGGCTTCATGTGGTGGCACAGTCTGTTGGTACCAAAGGGACCGTGCAAAGCTGAGGCACAGCTGCTGATGGATCAGCATCACTGCCTGCATCGAACTCTGGGACAGGAGAGCTGGGTCTGCGGCTTCCTCCTCTTCTTGCCCATCTGAAGCTCCTTCTTTCTCCTCTAGTGTGTGTTCTATCAAAATATCTGCAAAGTCCTAAACAGCAATAGAACAATTCATTTGATTACTCGCTGTAGAAAATGAAGGAGGAGTGTGAACCATAAGAGAACAGTGCCATTATGATGAAAGACTGAATGCAAATACAACTACAGAACATATCCTGTTACCTTTTCATGCAGTGGGAACAGTTTCCTGAGCTCGAGTTCGTCTTCCTCCTCCTCACTCAGGGCTGTCCTGCAGCTCCTGCTCCGGTATCTGTACAGGCTATTCTCTTGCTCTGCCTTCTCTTGGGCTATGCGTTCCTGCTCATCCCACTCATTGATGATCTCCTGAAAAGTTACATGGGCAGAAAAAGGAAGCATTCACAAGACTTACATAGGCAAGACTCATCTATCTTAGCTTCTCACAAGTATGAAAGTACCATGGGCCCCCAAACACAAGCCAACAGCTAAGAAATAAAATCCCATTAGCAGAGAGCAAATAAGCTTCCTTTCAAGCTGTGTGAAGGTCTTCATCATTTTCCTGGCTTCTGCACTGTTACAATTTCAAAGGTTTACAAGTCTGCCACAGTGCAGCTGATCCTCGTGCCCTTTTTGTCAAGGGGTTGGGGGTGCTGACAAGGAGTACACTTAGTGGCACTTTAGCCAGCTGGCCTAGGGTTCAACATCAAACTATGCTAGACACTTCTTGAATGCCCTGCTCTCTCATATTTAGGTCCTTAAATTGGCAAAAACTATACACAATGAAAGGCAGAGGCGCAGACTAAATAGTGAGTTCCAGGCCAGCTAGAGCTACAGTGAAATCTCGTCTCCAACAACAACAAAAATGTATTAAATGAAGGAAACCACAATCAAATGGGTTTTTTTTTTTTTTTTGCTTGGTTTTCTTTTTTATGTAAGTCTTTTAAAATTACAATTTAATTAAACATGTGTGGATGTTTTTCTTGCCTGCATGCCTGTGCACTGGGTGTACCTGGTGCCCAATGAGGTCCAAAAGAGGGAGAAGGATTCCCTGGAATTGGAGTCAAGGATGGTTATGAGATGTCACATGGGTGCTGGCAATCGAACCCAGGTCCTTGGAAAGAACAGCCAGTGCTCTGAACTCCTGAGCCATCTCTCCAACCTCTTTTCTTTTTTTTAAAAAATACTCTCAAGTATCTCAGGCTATCCTCAAACTCCTTATGTAGTGAAGCTGGACTTGAACTCCTGATCCTCCTACCTCTACTCTGTAAATGCTTGAACTAATGGGTGTGTGTCCAAGTGTTGCCACCAAATATTTTTGAGGGTTTATCTTTAAAGAAAGATGATTAAATTAAAAGCCTAAATAAATATATTTTTATAGGTTTAAACATTTCTAAAGATTCAATTTTTATGTGTTTGAATGTTTTTCCTGTATGCATGTATGTGCACCATGTGCATGCCTTGTGTCCTTAGGAGGGCGGGAGAGGGCACTGGATCCCCTGAAACAGCGTTACAAGCAGTTGTAAGAGGCCACGTGGGTGCTGGGAACCAAACCAAGGTCTTCTGGAAGAACAGCTAAGCCATGCCTCCAGTCCCATATTTATTTATTTATTTTTTAAAGATAAAGAGCTAATGGGATTTGAGGCGGGTGAGTAGTCAGGCGCTGGCTGAGATGGGGGTAACTCTTGATCTTCCTGCTGGAATGACAGGCCTGTATATAAGTACTCTGGTTTAGAAGGTACTAAAGAATCAGACTTAGGTCCTATGGTCTACTCACTGAGCTAGTCCTCCAGCACAGGTTTAATCTTTGTCCTATAATCCTGGTCTCTAGGTTAACCAAAGATGTAAGACTATTTACTATGAGATTTACTGTTTTCCCCTCCAAAGTACTAAATAAAATATTAAATATGCTAAGTAACTTAATGGCATGCACACATTAAGAACGTTAGCAATGAAATATATGACGGATAAATAATACAGTGAGCAGGAATGACCACCAAGTGCTGTTAGGTTTGAATATAAGCAGATGGACTCACTAGTGCCTTGCTATGAGTCTTATAGCTCTAGCAATCCAAGGGTAAGTATCAGGCTCCATGAACAGTCCAGAATTGACTCTGACCAGCATATTCTTTTAGTTGCTGAGTACTGGGTCACTATGCTAGAATATTAATTTCTTTAGCAAGCTGTTGCTACAAATAAAAATCTGTAAACCTGAGGAATATTACTTTAAAAGAAAAATGCTTGTAAATATACACCACAAAGGAGGGCCTAGTTAATCTTTTAAAGATTGAAGGAAGCTGGGCAAGCATGCTATGCTGGTACATGTCTGTAATCTAACTATTCAAGATGATAAGGCAGAATAAGTATCAAAAGTCTGAGGCCAGCCTGGGCTACATAATGAGTGCCAGGGCAGCTAGAGATATATAATAAAACCATCAAAACCCCCCAACAAAACAGCTAGAAAAAAGGCATACCTTCCGCCCCCACCTCCCATCCACCTTGTAGTCTAAGGAGAAAAGGAAAGCATCAGACAGATGAGAACCTATTTCCAGCCATTCTCTACCGTAGCAGGTAGGCCTCTTAGCGACAGGCTTACTTGGCAGAGATGTCTGAAGAGCAGCAGGGCCCTCTGGTCCAGCTCGCCTTTGTATAGCACATGGGAGCGCAGGTAAAGGAGAGCATTCATCAGTAACTGCTCCCGGGTAGGGTAAGGTTGCTGGCTCTTGCCTTCTCTTTCCTTTCCTCCCGAACGCTTGACCATCAGTTTCCCAAGACCTTGCAGAGCTTCCACTGAGTTCACGGAGCACAGAGCATCTGCATGAGCATGGTAGGTAGGGAAAGTGGGGCCGACAGATGGGAAAGCTAGCACAGCCATGACCAGGGACCCCAGATTTTCTGCACAGATCACACTGCTGTGCAGGGAGGCATGGACTTCAGATGCTACTAGCCTCATGCCATGCTGTAACTGCAAGATGGATGCCTGTAGTGGGGTAACAGTGTCTGGATACAAGGCATACTCTTCTACCAATCGCTTCCTAAACTGGTGATGTGACTGCTGCCAAGAGGCCTCCTCCTTTAGAAGGTTCTGGAGCACTTGAGCAGACCTTGATCCGTCTGTATGGAGCGCCTGAAGGAGTCGCATGAGCAGGTCCTGGACAGCAGTGACCTTGGCTATGCTAGTGACGTAGTGGTGGATCTCTTGCACCAAGGACTCATAACTGGGCAGGTGAGGTCTGAAGGCCTGTTTTTTTGACAGGTTGTGGACTACATTCTCCAGCTCACTGATCCTTTGGGGAAGGAACCTGAAGGCAAATTAACACAACACATAAATGCTGTTAGAAAAACAGCAAATCTGGATTGGGCCCTCAAATAGGAAGAGAATGAAGACATTAGCTGCTAAGAACTGTGAGGGTGATATTTGCAATGACAATGAAACTGGGTAACATCTTTAAGCATTCAGAGTAGCACACTTGCTTGACAAATACTCTAAATACATCTCACCAAAGCTTTGTCACAGTCCGCCTTTGCTATTATGGACACTGAGGCTGGATGGCATTAAGCAGGATTTTTCTGTGTAGCCCTGGTTGTCCTGGAACTCACTCCATAGACCAGGTTGGCCTCGAACACAAGAGATCTGCCTGCCTCTGCCTCCCTAGTCCTGGGATTAAAGGCATCACCATGGGGCCTTCAATAGCATTAAAAAAAAAATTTACTTTTAATTGTGTGTATGTATATTGTGCATGTGTGTGTCTATACGTGGGTATGCTCACTTAAGTGAGGGTACCTGCTGAGGCCAGAGGCATGAGGCATCAAGATACCGTGGAACTAGTTACAGATGGCTGTGAGCCTCTCAATGTGAGTGATGGGAATCCTACTTGGGTCCTCTGCCAGAGCAGTACATACTCTTTATCACTGAGTCATCTCTTCAGTCCAGCCTTCAGTATCTTCTCCCTCCTTTCAAATGTACCTTTTTCCTGATCTAACTGGTCATATTGCTGAGATATACATCACTACCATATTAACATAATTATAATACAATCGTCAATCTCATACTATCTTTTCTAAAAACAAGAGGTCAGTATCCTCTCACCCCAACACAAACTCTGCTGCCTTACCTGATGTGTGGATGAGAGTGGCTGACAATTGTTTCGTCTTCCAGGTCTCTTCCAGTTTGCAGGTGGGACCACAGGTTCCGGGTCTTCCACTCACACTGCAGCTGGCTTAACTAATGGAAAAGCGAACAACAAACAGTCTTCTGTGGCCACAGCTGTGACCATGCACTTGAGGACAATGTTCTGAGTATGGTTACAATGAGGTGGATGGGGATCTGAACGACCCAAAGACCTGGACCACTCACCTCAGAGCTGTTAGGTGAAACACACTACATTACTCATACCACTATCTATTATTATCTACCTACAACAGGATAACTTTCATCCTGTATCAGCTCCTCTTCAAAATACAGCACATGTACCACTATCTTAATATATTAATTTCTTCAGTTTGTTTGGATGTTCAAACAGGAAAGGATGTCATATTATCTGAATTACACTCACAGTATCTAGAATCTAGGGACACTATTCCCTTATTTTTCTGGCAATGCCTACATTCCCCTTGCTAAGCCAAGTCAGAAATCTTAGAAGAAAATGCAGTAAGTTACAAGCAAATTCCGCGAGCCAGGGCAGGAGCTCAGGCTCTACACCTGCCCCTTACCTCCTCTTGGGCATACTTGAGCTTGTATGCCTTCTTCACTGCAGGGTCGAAACGTGCCTGGGGAAGCCAAGTCTGAATCTGGAGTAAGCCAAGGCTCACCCAGAGTCTCCCACGCTGGGCTGCTTCAGGGAGGTTCTGCTTACTCTCCCCTTCACCAAAAAAGTAGTGCAGGGAGGTGAGCAAGAGACAGAGTAGTTCTTTGGGAAGTGCCTCCTGAGCACCCATGTTCCCGAGAGTCTGGTCCACATGTTGGAAGGCCTGGCTATCCCCAAGCAGCAGATGTTCACAGTTCTGTACATACTTCTGCCGCTGGTGCACTGGAAGCAGTTCTGTGAGGCTGAGCAGGTGCCAGCACAGGACCAGGCCCTGGAGCCGAGAGTCCGTGCGTCTGTGGGGACACAACACAGCACTTACAGAGGCCCAGTAAATCAAACAACCTCCTTGAGTATACACTTTCATTTCAGAAAATATTAACCACGGACTGTTGATATGTAGAGGTGAATTTCTCATATAATCTTGCATGAATTTCTATTTATAACCTGTTGGCTCAAATATTCTTAAAATACAGGACTCAAACTCCCAGTAGCCTGCTATGAATTGCAAGCAAGCTAATCTACACAGAAACCACCCTGACTTTCATTTACCAGAATCAGGTATCTATGCCTCAGAGGGAAGTTCTGAATGAGCCCTTGCTACATGGTGGGAAGCAGACAACAGCATTACAGACTACTTCCAGGGGGAGAAATACCTGAATTCTGCTACTGAAGGCACAGCCATATTGGTCCACAGCAATGAGCTGATATCCTGCAGCTGCTGGGATCTCTCAACCCACTCTCCCAGGGTGACGTGTGAGGAAGACAGGAGGGGTAGGCCGCTTACGTCCCAGTGACTTGCTCTGCTGCTGCTTGTTAATACACTGAAGCAGCACTTGGAGAACACAGCTCTGCAGAGGCTGCCGGGGCCCTGAGCAACGAGAGAACCAAGTAACTCAGAGCTGGAAGCAGACAAAGGAGACGGGAGACAAACAGAGGAGACACAGAGTCTGTTGAACTATCCTTGGACTGTCAACCTAAAGACACAGAAACAGCCATGCACAGCAAGGGTCAGGTAGTCAATACATGATAGAGAAAACAGTACATGCTACACAACTCTTGAAAATCCACAAGGTTTATCATCAGAGGCTTTGAGAAAAGTTTTGAGTAAAGGTGGCACTTCAAGAATGGGCAGGATCCATCATTTACAGACTAAGAGAAAAAACTGCTTCCCTACCTCAAAAAACAAACAAGATACACAGATAAGGTGGCTGAAGAGATGGCCAAGTAGTTAAGAGCACATTCCTTTCTTAGTACCCATAACAGGCAGCTCCCAAATGCTTGGAACTCCAGTCCCAGGGGGACAGGACATCCTCTGACCTCCTCACATGGTACATGTAAACTCACTCTGGCAAACACACATGCACATAATAAACAAATAAATAAAAAGATATACAGATATATTTAACTTAAATGTAAAACAAAGATACAGGAGAAAATGGTAATCATTTTACCCTACAACTGATGAAAGAAGTCATTTTTAAGTGTTTAATACAAAAGTCAGAAAAACGGAAGAGACTAGTGTACCTGAAATCATGACATTGAGTGTCAAGAAATAATCAAACCTTAAAAATAATAAAAAATCAGAAACATACTTCTGGCCATACTGGGAAAGTATTAATATTGATAACCATGAAAAGATCTTCAATAACAAAATGATATTTAATAAGCTAGTATGTTTTCTAATTGGAAAATTAAGTTTCGTTGCATGTCTGTATATGTGTGTGTATTCTAGTGCTTTTTCTTTGCTTTTCTTTTTTTCTCCTGTTTGTTCTATTCTGGTTTGTTTGTTCTTTTATTTACTTGTTTGTTTTCTAAAGAAGAAGAAAGGAGGCATGGAGTTGTAAGAGTTGGGAGGTAGAGAGGACCTGGGAGATGAAGAAACTGATCAGAATATATTGTATGAAAAAAAATTATTTTTGATAAAAAGACTAATTTACACAGAATCAATGCAACTTTTCTTTTTTAAAAGAAAGGAGTCAGGAGGAGTAATAAAAGCCAACATTTTAACTAGAAAGTAAGTAAATAGGGCTGGAGAGAAAGCTCAGCAGTTCAGAGTGTGCTCTGCTCTTCCAGAATACGCGAGTTCAGTTCCCAGCACCCACATGGTAGCTCACTGTAACTCCACTCCAGGGGATCGGATAACCTCTCTGGGTACTTGTACTCACATGCACATCTCACGCCCCACCCCCTCCCAAACACAAAGATTAAAAAAAAAATTTTTTTTTTGGGGGGGGGGGGCAGGTGTGGTGGGGCAGGTGTGGTGGCACATGCCTTTGTTCCAGCACACAGGAAGCAGAGGCATTTGGATCTCTTTGAGTTCAAGGCTAGCTGGTCTGCATAGTGAGCTCCAGTCCAGCAAAGCTATTAGTGAGACCCTGTCTGCAAAAACCAAAAAATTAAAAAAGTAAATAAATTCTAGTAGGCTTAAATAAAAATAAGAGTAAGCTGGACACATTTTCATGACACACTTAGGAACAAAGAAAGCATTCTTAGAAATGTAAGTAAATGCAAGGATACTTTATTTTATGATTAGGGATAAATTAGACTTTGGTGTCTTAGGACCCATGTTGCACAGGCTAACTTTGAAGGTGTAATTCCCTTGCTTTGTTCTCCTGAATGTTGAGACTACAGGTATGTACTGTCACACACAGCAAGACTAAATGACTTTTTAAAGAAAACTGTTGTGACTTTAACTCAGAATTACATAAATTATTCATGATTTGGACAGGATGCTCAACATCCCCAGAAAACAGACTATCACAATGCCCTCTGTCGTCAATCGCTTCACAGAAAGAACAAGCACGTTAGGATTTTTATGCCAACAAACCTTCAATGTGGAGTCCAGTCGGGACTTGGGCCCCTCCTGCTGCTGTGTATTAGACAGAGGGCTCCATGTCAGCCAATACTCTAGATTTGTGGTAACTGTACTGCTCCAGAAAGACCCAAATGTAGAGTTAAATAACTCTGACCACAAACAAGAAACTTCTTCAGCAGATAGCTAGAGGTAAAAGAATATTTGAAAAAGTTTCCATCAGTCAAGTTATCAAGTCTGCCATCTAACATCCATCAACACCCAATAAAAGGTACTAATCCTAAACTTCTGGACTTCAATGTCCCTCAGTTACCTTGGAGAAATTATGTAGGTTGTTTGTAGTTTTATAAACTAAGATGGGATGCTTTATAAGCTTGTACAGAATGTAAAGTAATTCACACAATTGTAACATCAGCAAAGGAAATACATAAAACATGACTTAAAAATTTAAGCATGTTCTAACTTAATTATATTAACCACATTTTAACACATTTCACATTCAACATGGGAGGCAAGAAAACACTAAGACTTTTTTTTGGCCAAATAGGAATTTTTAAGCAGTTAATACTATTACATCATTCATTGGAAACCAAATGGATATTTCTGTGTTACAAGTTGTAGGCCAGTGATTGTGGTGGCACACGCCTTTAATTCCAGCTTTCAGGAGGCAGAGGTAGGCCGATGTCTGTGAGTTAGAGGCTGGTTTGGTCTATAGAGGGAGTTCTAGGACAGCCAAGGCTGTCCTCACCCCCAAAAGAGTTGTATAATACCTTTATTAAATGCAGAAGTTGAAAATCCAAGTTTACAACATGGAACCCTGAAAGTCAATACCATGCCCAGCAAGCACCAGCCATAGGAATCTAATCAACCAAGACAGGAGGAGGCTTTATTTCCCTCTTGATTTTAGTTTTTACCTTGGGATAATGCAGCAAAGACCAAAGATTCCAAAGCTTTTGAGGTGCAATTGGTGTGTGCTTGAGACAAAATGTGATGTGATGACCGATCTCCTCATCCATCTGCTGGTGTTTGCTTGACCTATTTCAAAAATGAACAGGGAGAGGATGGGGTGCTAGCCATCAAGGAACTAGTGGAGAGCTACCTTATAAGGGAAGGTAGAGCACACAGAGCCTATAGCACTGGGGGACACTTCATGGGTTTAGGGACGAAGCCAAAGCAAGCAAAGCCCTTTCTGGAAGATCTGTCTTGTAAAACGGCAATGCCTTCTCTGTGCCTCAGCAATCACTCAAGACACATCTATAAGATAATGTAGCAAGAGAATCTGTCCTCCTCTAGAGAATAATCGAAAAGTGTTTACCATCTCAGACAAGCCTGGGTTACAAAATCAGCTGTCACTCTGTACTGCCACAGCATAGCCAGGTATTCCGTCGCAGGCCACAGCTGAACACTCCTGGTGAGGTGGACTAAAGAGTTGAAGTCTGGCTGAGATGTGGAAGAAGTCTCATGTGCTTTTCCCAGAAAGCCATGTGAAAGTCCTCTGGATTTTAGTTCTAAACACTGATTGTTCACAAGAGTCTTCAATTCATCTTCAATTCCAATCAGAAAGACATGCATTAGAACAAAGTACTCTGAGTCCAAATCTGTACTCAAGTTCATCAGCCAGCTGGTCAACCTGAGTTCAAGGCTAGCTGCCAACACCTGGGATCACAGCTGTACCCATTATTAACCCAAGTTCATCAGCTGGCTGGTCAACATGGGTTTTAAGTTTCTCCTATTCAAATCATATTAACTTCTATACATCTAACGCTGTAACTGAATGATATCTGTGAGGTTTAGTCCAATGACTAAAGTCTGAGGGGAAAACTTTAAGAGCAACAGGGAAGAAGATACTGTCAGCAAACCAAACACCAGAAAATGTTACCTAGATTGACACCATCCAGAATGTTAGCTCTGAGGATCAATCCCCAGGCCTGTAGGAGACTCTTCTTCAAATTCCATTCTGAAGCAACCACTTGGAGACGATTAATGTCTTCTTGCCACCCACACTCCCCAAAGACAGGCAGCTGTTCTCTGATGGCAAGGGCTCTGCTAAGGACTTGCAGCTGTGAAAAACAGTCCACTACCAGCTTGTCCTGAAAGAAAACCCAAGAGAGCTGACTCAAGAGCTGAAAGGCAGTTCTTTTCAGTAGTCTACACAGTTTGTATACGCCAGTTGCTCTGGCAGACTGTAAGGTAATAAAGCTCTACCCAGCCTTAGGAGTGAATAGAAGGTAGCACTGTCTTAGGAAATGAAGGGTTAGCTTTGGAGCAAAAGCAAGTCTACTTGAGCTTCCAGGTCCAGGAGAACCCCAGGGTTTCACTGACCACATTTCCAGGTGTACCTTAAAAGGAAATGGCCGTCCCAGGAACGCCTGCAGCTTCTTTACGCCAGCAAAGCTGGCAGATGGGTTGCCCAGACAACTGGTGATGTGCTCGGAGACAGTCTGTACCTCTTTATAATATCTTCAAAGAAAAAAGGGAAAATGCTGGACACTACGAGAAGTCTTCTACATTTTTATATTTTAATGTATTTACTAACATGCCAAGGAAATATACCAAAGCAAGAGGAAATGGTTCTCAATTCAAATCCTTGTTTATCTTTTAACATTACAGATATTAACATTACTACTCAAAATAGAAATCTTACTTGTCTTCATGATTCACCAGGAGTTGGGGGATCTGATGGATTAAATGTTTCAAAACCCAGTGCCAGTGGAGGGCAAGCAAAGCCAGACCTGGGGCATCTACTGTCACCATATCAGCCACAGTCCAAAACCGGTCCCGCCACTGCACAGAACCTAAGATCTAAAAACAAAATAAACCACGGCAATCAGTCAGTAAAAGACATACATGTTGGGAATGGTGGTACAAACAGTAATCCTGGCACTTGGGAAAGCAGGATTGAGTTCAAGGCCAGCCTGGGCTACAAAGTGAGACCTTATCTCAAAAACCAAAGGCAACTCATTACCAGTTTGACCTGAAATAAAATCCAAGAGAGCCTAACATGAGTAGTATAAGGCTAAACTGGCAGACTAAGCAAAGGTCTTTTCTTTGTACTTTTATGTACCACAGAAGCAGTCTTCTCTAAAGCACAGCTGCCGATTTCTTAGACACTACCAGATGTAGATGGAGCTGCTCTGCTGGGGTCACAGTGCTGTATCTTCCCTTCTGTACTTGCTGAGCACAAGAGCAACTGTAGCTATCTTGAGTGCTTACTTCACCGATATCTCCATTTTCACCCCCCAATAGCTGCTGTTGATACAACGTTCCCAGCTCTTCTGGTCTCTACCTGTCCATAGAGCCTCATCTAGTCTATTATCTTGTTAATTTTCAAAATCCAACTGTTATAACTAGCTAGCAATAATTTATGCATCTTACAAATAGTTTCACTAAGATTTTTTTCCCTTTAGTGGTTACATTTAGAAGTTTCATGAGGTTAAAGCTATTTTCATAACATGTTATTTACTATGTTTATTGACTTGAAATTTAAATTAATAATCAAATTAAAAGAAAAAGACTGACAAACTGATAAGGTGGCAAAAACCATGTTGAACATACACAAAGTAAACCTCTCCCTTTGAGAAAAGTACTTGGAGGCTAGGGATTTAGCTGAGTGGTAGAGCACTTGCCTACCATGCATCAGGTTCTGGATTCAGTCCCAAAGATTCAAACTGGGGGCGGGAGGGGGACCCACCAAAGAAAAGAAAAGCACAGCAACAAACATTTGAAATATGGTTGCTCCTCACTGAATGCAGGGAACTGGTTCCAAGGATTCCTTCTGGACTCCAAAGTGTGGTTAAGCCTCTCATATAAATTAGTATGTTTGAGAGGTGATGTTTCAGTTAGAGAGCATTTGCTCTTGTAGAGGACCTGGGTTCACTTTCCAGCACCCACACAGTAGCTACAATTGTAGGGGATCTGGTGCCTTCTTCTGGCCTCCACAGGCATCAGGCAGACATACAATGTATACATATACATGCAAGCAAAACATTCACACATATAAAATAAAAATAAATAAATCTTAAAAAGAAAAAAAAGAATGACAATACAAAACAAAAAAAAAAAGGTTTGTATATATTCAGTACAGAAACACTTCGTTTTTTTTTTGTTTGTTTTTGTTTTTTGTTTTTGAGGAGTAAGCAAAACCAAGAGGTCAACAATTTCAATGGTTAAATTTTTTTTGATGAAACTTGTGACTTTATATTATAAGGAGAAGTACATCAATTCAATGACCAACATTTTCAAATCATCAGTACAAACATACAAGTAAAACTAGACCAGTCACGCATTGTAGAAAAGTTCCACACTGGTAAATTCAGTCTATGCAAACCTGTCAGGGTTATGACGTGCCACCAAAGAACATCCCTGTCATAAGTGGAAGTATTTCCTTTTCAACCCCAGAACTACAGGAAGCCAGCTGTCCTTCACAGCTTTAAATGGATAGAACACTATGAGACTATCTGCAGAAACAGACAGGAAACCCAGCTTTCTTCTTCCAAAGAAGTAGTTGTGGAGGTTTCACTCTTCTTCCCAATTCCCACTCAGAAAAATGGCTACTTTTATTAAAATACATCATTCATGTTAAGAGACTATTTGATATTCTACATGTCAGTTCCTAAATGGTCCTTAATATTGACAGACAGACCATACAAACAAGACCTCCGGGGGTTTTTGATAACCTTTAGGGGAAAGGGGGTCTGTAACTAAAAAATTTTACTAGATTTACAAGAATAAATTGGAATTAAAATGTTATTTAATCCACATGTGATTTAACATCCAATGATAAATAAGAAAGCTTAGTTAAATTAGAATCTAATTGTAAAACCCAAATGCACACCAATAGGCAAAGGGATAAAATATAGAACATTTCTAGAAAAGATTATTACTCAGCAATAAAAATGAACAACCGGGCTGGAGAGATAGCTCAGTGGTTAAGAGCACTGGCTGCTCTTCCAGAGGTCCTGAGTTCAATTCCCAGCATCCACATGGTGGCTCACAACCATCTGTAATGAGATCTGGTGCCCTCTTCTGGTCTACAAGCATACATGCAGGTAGAATACTGTATACATAATAAATAAATCAAAAGAAATGCTTTAAAAAAATACATAAATAAAAATGAACAATTTACTGATAAATGAATCTACATGGATATATCTTGTGGTGGTTCAAATAAGAATGGTCCCACAGGCTCATATACTCGAATGTTTGGTATCAGTTGGTGGACTATTTGGGAAGGATTAGGAGGTGTGTCACTGGGGTGAGCTTTGAGGTTTCAAAAGCCCAAGCCAGGCTCAGCCTCATTCTCTTTCTGCTTCCTACTTATGGATAAGGTATAAGCTCTCAGTTACTGCTACAGTGCCATGGCTGGCTGCCTGATGCCATGCTCCCCATCATGATGGTCATGGACCAATCTTCTGAAACTGCAAGCAAATCCCCAACTAAATGCTGTCTTTTAAAAGTTGCTTTGGTCATGGTGTCTGTCATAGTAATAGGACAGTAACTAACCAGACCACAGATTTACACTGTACAGTTCCATTCAATGGCTACATGATTACAGGTATGGGTAAAGAGAGGAAAGAAATGCAAAAGGACACAAGGAAGCTTTTAGCGATGAAAAGAAGTATCTTACTATCTTGATTGTTGTAATGGTTTTACAAGAATATACATGTCAAAATGTACTCTTTAAAAACACTGAAGGTAAAAGCATCGCCTCACCTTATTGACATGGGTATCAGGAACTATCGCTTGGGGAGACTGTACCCAGAGCAGGATCAGTGCATCACAAAGTTCAAAAAAAGCAGCAAGATTGGCCACAATTTCATGGGGCAGGTTGTGATAGCTCTCTGGATCTTAGAGTTGACACAAATAAAATAAAAACATTCTATTAATCTTCAGACATTTTCAAAATAAATTATAGTCTAGATTTTAATGTTATCTCTAGTGCAAAAGTCTATTAGAAAGCTCACCATCAAAAGCATATTTTGTATGTATTATGAAATTTTCAGATAAGGCACATAATACCTACAGATGTAAATAAATAATGTCCTAGTGGAAAATGCAAGCTACACAGTAAGATTACATATTTTATATCTGTAGTTAAACACAAAAATACTGGGCCAGAGAGATGGCTCAGCAGTTAAGAGCACCTGCTGCTTTTTCAGGGGACCTACATATGGTTCCAGCAGCCACATGACAGCTCCATTTCCATAGGATCTGATGCTGTCTTCTGACCTCCAAGGGCACCAGGGATGCATATGGGACACATACATATATGCAACCAAAATACTTCCATGTATATATAATTTTTAAAAATTAACCAACACAAAACACTGAAACCAGTGCACATAGATTTAGATAGTTTCTTGTGGGGGCATTTTCTTAATTTAGGTTTCCCCTCAAATGACTCTAGTTTGTGTTGACAAAAATGACCTTTTAAAATATTTATACTTTCACATTGTTTTGATTTTTTTCTAAATCCCAGAGCTGTCTTTTTGGTTTACAAGAACTAAGGAAGAGAGAATTGCTGACTTCCACACAATCAATGCTTCTGAAAAGATATTCTGAGCCAAGACACCTGCTTTTGAAGTGCTAGTTCTTCAACTTGCTCTAAGTATGTGATCTTCAACTTCTGTGTCTCATGTTCTTAGTTTACGAGAACCTACTGAGCTTTGGAGAGTGACTGTGAGGACATGTTAACAGCATTTAGCTGAGCACCTGGGATAACCAGTGTTCATTAAATGCCAATCATCAGCATTGCTTAAGAGGATATAGTTCATATCAAGTCAACATATCACAATAAATCTGAAAGCAGCAGTTACTGAGAATGTCTCCTAACTCCAGCAACAGCAAAACCAGAACACAAAAGGGAAAATGTTTTTACCTTTATGGAATTCAAAAGACATCCTCAAAACACTACTTCTTAACTTTTTATTACCAACAGACACCAAATTTGCTTCAGTGAAAATCCTCTTTTCCCGGTGAAGATAGATAATTGTCCTGGAATGAAATAGTTGCTTACTGGTTAACAGAACTTCTTTGAATTAACAAAGTTTTTTTGGGGGTGGGGTGGGGTGGGGTGGGGTGGGGCATGTAGTACTGGGACTAAACTCACGGCAGGGAGCATCCTAGGTAAATATTTTACCACTGACCCATAACCACAGTCCAGAAATACTCCAGACCTTGGAGCATCAGTCCCTTCATCTAGCCCATTCCTCAACTGTTTCTGCAACCTCTGGACTAAAAAGGGAGTAAGAAGATCACTGGATCCCACTCTACTGTCCTACCCCGATCTGACATTAACCCGAACTCTGCAATAGTCACTGTCACTGCATCAGTGACATAATCATACTCATGGGCTCACTTGATGAAAATGCATCAAAATCACGTTTATTATTAGCATACCTTCGTGAAATACATATTTCAATTATACGTTTATTTTTAAAAATATTACACTAATGGCTAATTTGGGGATAAAACAAAATAAAACAAATTGCAGTAAATAATTAGGAAAAATGTATTCAACCTTATAAATTTACATGTGTGTCTACTTAGGTTGCAGGAGTCACTCCTGTCTGCTGTACTGGAGGAGGAAAACTGAAGCAGACAAACATCTGCGAGAATGAGGAGATAATAGGAAGTTACTGGGACCCATAATTATGCAGAAGAAACAACTGTCCTGAGACTAGAGATTAGCTGTAAAATACTGCCCACCACTAACGCTGAGTGAATGTAATGGCATTGAACACCTACTCTGTGTTTCATAAAATTAAAGCCCACATAACCCGTATTTGATATATAATGGGTAAGGCCATGAGAGAAAGTGTCTCGAGCTGCAGGCGTCACCTACTTGTTTGCAACTGATTCTAAAAGGGCAAAGAGTTGTTCAGACTGGTCTGCTTGTGGATCAAAGTCCAGAGAATTTCTAATGATGTCCAAAGCCTGCATATTCCACCGGGGATCCAGAGGAATCACAAAGTCATCTAGTTTAAAGAAAAAGGAAAGAATTGTGCAATTAACATGCCTGCCTGGCTTAGCAAGCCTTAGTTGACTATTTTCACTGTTTCATGTTGACCACATGGATGCTCATGGGGAGAAGAGAACACCACTGCAGTCTACGGCACTGCAGTGTCAATCCAGCAGCTTCTCTACCACTGCCTTTCCAAAATCAAACACCAAGAGTCCCCAAACCTCCTCCCACCGCAGACTGTAACACTCTCTGCTTTCAAAAATAAAACAAAACAATTCAAGATTGCTTCGCTTATGAAAGCATTTCCCTGACCAGGCCTGGTAATAATTACCTAGCACAGGTACTGAAGAGGCTAAGGCAGAAGAACTGCGTGTGCCTAGGCTTAAAGCACCCACCTGAAGAACAGGTTAAGACTCCATCTCAGAACCACAACTAGCCAGGCATGTCAGTGTGGACATGTGATCCCAGCTTTCAAATGAACACATAATTAATTACCCAAAGAGGAAATGCTGAAGGCTAACTCTGATCATCAAGGCTTTGTACTATCTGAAGCAAATGATCCTGTATAGCTTTCCCTTCAAGTCAAATATTTTATGCTGAAAACTCTTCTAGTTAATGTAACAGTACACTAAACCTTCAAAGTGGAAGAGACCACAGAGAAATAAAAATCTCACTTTTCTCATTTTCTACCAGTCACTCTCTCTCGAAGCTGACTTCACCTTCACACTCCCAGGTTCCTTCTAGTGTACCATTATTCTCACAATGGACAATCAACAGTTTGGAAGAGATTTTGCATCTGCATAGATGAAGTCTTCTGAAAACCGTGGTGACTGTGGAAGCTCTGAAGGTCTTTCCCTCAAGTTTTTAGAGACAGAAACTAAAAGCAGGTACATACCCGTCATGTTTGTCTGTAACATTTTCAAGACATTCCTGACTCCAGCTGAGAGGGAGTTGGAGTAAAAGTTTCTAAGAGCAGTGGCACTGCCTTCCAGATGAATCTGCACTGACTCTGTGGAAGAAGAGCATTGTTAAGGCCCAAAGCCACATCGCCCAAATGAACCTTCTGCAGTGGGGACACAGTCACACAGTGGCTATACACAAGTGACTGAATTGTGCCTACAACACACTAAGACTTGGTGTTCTGTTCATTTGTGTTCTTCTCTGTGGCAATCATATAAAACAATGTAAATAAAAAATTCACAAATTCCTTTACAAATACTCAGATTACCAATGTCACTAAACAAGAGACGTGTCTTCACTGGCTTATCAGCAAGTTCTCAGGAAGCAGAGGGTTCATATACATTCAGTTACTAAGGCTGACATTTTTTAATGGATGTGTGTGCAGGTCCATGTGCATAGGAAAGCTATAGGACAGTCTTGGGTGCTCAGAACCATGGACCCTGAGATGGGTCTCTTGTTTATCTGTAGTTTGTTTACCAACTAGGTTACACTGCCAGCCAACAAGCCCTAGACACCCTCCTGTCTCCTTGGTGCCGGCAGTGAAAGCAACTCTGGAGCTCCACTCTGCTTACAAGCCATGTGAATGACCCATCACCAAGAAATTCTATGTCCTAACTGTTACTGACTTTTTCCTGCTTTGAATGGATGACAAATTAAGCAAGTCTAGCAGCACCAAAATGAAAACAGGATTGGGGCCTCGAATGCTTTTAGTTCCAGCACTTGGGAGGCAGAGGCTGGTAGAACTTTTTGAGTCCTAGGCTAGCCAGAGCTACATAGTGAGACCCTGTCTCAAACAATCAAAAAATAGGATTAGTATCTTGGGCCTCTTAAGGGGAAATCAATAATTAAAAACAACACTGTTCCCAGAGAAAATGTTTGTACAGAAAAACAAAACAAAACATTTAAGGTAAAAAGTAACATGATGCAGCTGGGCGTGGGGGTATTACATGCCTTTAATCCCAGCACTCGGGAGGCAGAGGCAGGTGGATCTCAGTGAATGAGGCCCAGACTGGTCTACAGAGTGAGTTCCAGAACAGCAAAGGCTTCACAAAGAAACCCTGTCTCTAAAAACAAACAAACAAACAAAAAGTAACATGCTACATACAGTAAGTATATTTTCCTTTTGAACTGAAAAGAAGGACAGACTCTGAAACACAGGCATTTTTCCTGACACATAAGGGGCAGACATCTCCCTGATTTAACAGCTTTATAAACAATACAATTTTCTGCTGTTTCCCAGCTATACAGAGGGAAACAGTGTAGTCACAGACTAACATGCATGCCAAGGCACTGGGACAAGGGAGGCATATGTAAACATGGACAATTCAAGCTTTGCTACTCACCAAGCCCCTGTGGTATGTTCTTGGCTAAATGACAAAGCCATTTCACTCTGAGCATCCAATCCTGATTGGTTGCTCTTTCTATGAGCAATTGAACAGCCACGGCTAAAACTTCTGGTTCATCGACCCAGTAAGTATCCACTTTCACTGTACTGAATGTCAGGTTCTCAGGGCTACAAGTCTGCATAATGTTCTCTAAGTCTTGCAAAGTAAGAGGCTGACTCCTGGAACTCACAGAATGAGAGAAGTTAGAATTAGAACAGTCTTTCACATGCATTTTAAAACACCTAAGATAATGATTTTGTAAATACCATATCAAAGAGATGAAGAGGCAAAGACAACTGAAACATGTAGTTAGGGATGGGGTGTAGCTGAGTGGCAGAAATATGCTCAGCATGACAAAGGCCCTGCCTGGATTCCATCCCTAGTATGTGCATATACATTCTGATTGGTTGCTCTCTATGAGCATATTACAGCCATAACCAGAACATTGGGCTCATCAACCTAGTAAGTATCTACTTCTTCTGTGGAAGACTTCTAAATAAATGGGAATAATAATAATATTAATAATAAACATTAAAAATGTGATAATAAGTGGACACAAATGCTGGGCCCTCCAATGTTCGCAAAAGCCAAATCTACCCAAGAGAACACAGTGAAGGCTCTGCTGACCTTGTCCAGCTGCTAGTTTTCAGGCTCAGCCTGTTGAGGCAGTATGCCAGGATCTGCCCGTCACTTCGGACAACAGAGAGGCAAGAATCTTCTGTTGCAAAGAGAGCTGAAGGCACAGAATCGGGCCACAGCCCTGTGGCAAGAATGGAGTGTCCCCAGGTTTCCCGAACTTGCAGAGATGAGGTATGACTCTCCAGCAAAGCCTGCACAAGCTACAGAATGTGAAACACACAGTCAAGAGTACTGACACAAGTGATGCTATCAAAATCACCAACAGACAATGTGTGCAAGACTCCAAGGCTCATCTGGCCATCAATGAACAATTCTTAGACACATTCCTTAATGGACAACATTAGCTAAATTGTTTTGCCAATGTTTCAGAAAAGAAATATTTACATTTAAATGAATTTCCAGAAAAGAACCTGGACACCAGATCTTTAAATGGAACAAAATAGCAGTCAAGTCTCTTAAAAGTTGCTATGCACAAAGGTGATCTCCTCTACCTCGGCGTTATAACTTAGACACTGGTATAAAACATTCACAGTACCTTCCGGTTTGCTGCTGAGTGCTGAGAGCAGACATACACATCCCAGCATGCTTCAAAAAATGCTTTGTCTAAATTCAGACCTCGCTGTAAGTACTGAACAATGAGTATGGCTGCCTGACTGAGAGTAGAAACAGATGATGTTGGAGAACCTATAAAAAAAAAACATTGCCATATGTGAACAATAGTCTTCTAAAACCTTTGATAGAAACTGATAAATATGCTCTTAATCTTCTGTACACTGACTCCTAACCATGTATTTACTTTGTATCTAGGGTCTCCCGAGGGCACAACAGATGTGTAATAACACTCCTCTCTCTCGCCCTCATCTGCCGTCCCTCTTATTCCCTGGCCTCCAGCAATGTATCTGACACAGGTATCTTTAATCTCAAGAGGACACACACACCAAGGATGGCCAAGTGAGTATGACCATACAAAGGACAATAGGCAGTATAAATCCCAACTGTCAGTATAACTAATTCTGACAAATTATCAACCCCCGAGCCTCATCTGTGACAGGGAACATGCAGGAAGAACAGACAAACTGAACTGTACCCAGCACACAGCAATTACTCAGTAAATAGTTTTCATTTATTACTACTCATCCTTTTATCACAAGGAAAGAACAACAAAAATTAGAGCCGTTCCAGCTGTTATTTCTACCTTATTTCCCCTTCATAAGGGCAATGGTGACCCAGGAGATATGAAGGCAAAGCTCTTGAATCTCAAAGCATAGAGCAGAATTACTCAGCAAATGGTCCCTGTTACAGGAGCACGTACCCAATTATTATTTTCATTACATGCATATGCATCAATCTGTGTATCAAGTGTGGGTGTCCAAGGAGCCAAGAAGGGCGTCAGATTCCCTGCAGCTGGAACTGAGTCCACTGACAGGGGTGCTGGGAAGGAAATGCCAGTCTTTTGGAAAAGCAAGTGCTTGTAACCATTGACCATCTCTGTACTCCTTATGGAGCTTACCACACTGATGACCACACTTCCTCCAGATGAGCAGAACTCCATTTCCTGAGGTATTTGGATATGACATTTTAAACATGCTTTCTTGATCACTTTTATTTCAACGTATATCAACTGTAAGAACTCCTAGACTACAGACCTAATGGAGCAACATGAATTACTACAGGACAGCAACTGTAAAGGCCTAGAAGTCAAGTAGCTCACCTCTAACAGTGCTCTGGACCTCTGTGTGCAGAGCCAAGAGGATGTTACACACACTGTCCCCCACCAACCCAAGGCTGTGAAGCAGAACTTTCAAATCCAGGTTATCTGGGATGCTTTCATCCCCTTCTCCTGAAATATAGATTTCAAGTCCACGATTCCTCATAGCTCTGGAAATTTCTCCATGAACAGGATCCATGGAGAGAAAAAGCCTAATAAAGGGGAAATAATAAAAAGGAAATTGAGAAGGAGAGAGAAAAAGCAAATCCCCCAACTAACGGTTTTGGCCTCTAGCACCAATTGTTAAGGGCAAACTATATGTGGCTCACCTACAGGAAATCCACTGAAGAAGACACTACCACCTCACTGTGGGATACTACTACCCACACCTGTTTTTTAACATGCCAACACCCTTGCATCCATTTCTCTATACCTACTTTTGTTTCTAAATACTTACTTTTATCTATATGTATGCATTTGAGTCTGTTTGTGCACCTATGTGTGGGTGCTTGCAGTCCTAAAGAGGGTGTCAGATCCCCTGAAGCTGGAGTTTTTTGATAGTTATGACATACCCAGTGTGGGTGTTGGTTAACTAAACTCGGCATACCTCTATAAGAGCTGCAACCACTGAGCCCGTTCTCCATTCTCATATACCTGCTTTCTTAAGGAACTATGCTGAGAACTTAGAAAGTCTTGCTTTCAGACACTCACCCCAACTCAGACCATGCTGATTCATCCACATAGAGCAGAAAAGGGAGCAATGAACTCTGTCTGGCCTTAGTGAGGTTTTCTACTTCTGTGATAAAGCACCCTAAGAGTTTATGTCAGCTTACAGTTTCACATAACAATCCATCATCTAAAGAAGCCAGGGCAGAACCGAAGCGGGGCAGGAAGCTACAGGCAGAAGTTGATGCAGAGGCCATGAGGACTGCAGCTTATTGGCTTGCTCAGTTTTCTTATAGTACCCAGGACCACCTGACCAGGAGTAGCAACACTCAGTGAGCTGGGCCTTCCCACAACAGTCAGTCAAGAAAATGGACTACAAATTTACCCACAGGACAATCTGGTAGCAGTATTTTTTTTCAGTTAAGGTTGCCACCTCTAGTTTGTATCAAGTGACATAAATCTAGCTAGCACAACTGTTCTGTAACAGTCAATTTCCCTTCATCAATGTCCCTCCATACCCTCGTGTAGCTCTCTGACATCTCAACTTACATGAGAACAGAAGAATGGATTCCTGGCTGGCTGTCCTATACCAAACTTGCTCTTCTGCTAGTATTCCCCTTCTCAATAAGCAGCTTCTCATTTGCCCAGTTACTCTAGACAAACCACAGATGCCATCCTTGTTTCTTTTCAACTCCCAAGACCCACCCATGTGACCCTGTAACACGGGACACACTCTCTTCTTCCTAGGCTGTCAGCAAAGGGCTGTGACTAACCTCTTACCTTCTACGCCTTACTACTAACCCTAGAGAAGGACCTCACCTCTTTCTGTATTCTGCTGTCCTCAAAGCCTAGCAAGTACTTGGTAAACAGGAGGGCCTTAATATATAAATTTTAACAGAATGATCAGGTTGCCTTCTCAGAACATGGTGCAGTTTACAAAGAGGTTCTATTAGATGTCTGCCTTTGTGACTGAAGACACCCAATTCTTTATTAGACACATAAGAAATAGAAGTACCTGAGCCGGGCGGTGGTGGCGCACGCCTTTAATCCCAGCACTCGGGAGGCAGAGGCAGGCGGATCTCTGTGAGTTCGAGGCCAGCCTGGGCTACCAAG